CTTGGATCCCTAGGGGAAGAAGTTCTTTGAGTAACCTTTGCTTTGACTAACTGGTTTGCGTAGTGAACTGCATGAATCAATCCATGCATTGTTGAGACTTCGAAAACCACGGAGGGTTGTGAACCCATCTCACACAGCAGAAGTGCATCTCATTTAATCTGACCCGTAACTCATCAACGGGAGACAAATCACTGCACCTGGTGCTTGTCATTTTCTGAACACCAAAAACCATCCCTCACCCCTAACCAAGTTTCAAAAAGGCCCGGCCAAGTGAGGTAGTGAACCCCTTCAGGGCAGGGATCTCAAACCCCTAAAATCGCTCGCCAAAGTCGCTCCGCACGGTCGCTCGACCGCGTCCTGGAGAGGGCCGCTTGGGCAAAGTCTCACCGGAGAGGCGCAGCGACGCCGGATGAGGTTTGATGTCAGTACACAAACCGTATCAAATCAATCTGAATCCTCAAAACATCCTTGTAACTCTCCCTTTGGATTTGCATCTTCACCCAAGAATTGGCTCAGGTGCCGTCAGCACCGCCTAAGTAAGTAGACCCAAAGACGTGAACATGCGGAAATGAAAAATTATTGCTTTCAGTTTTACTCAATGCAGGAACATGGAGGAACATGCTCACTAATACTCAATGCTACATGGGACCAAATGCCTCAAATTAGAATAATTGGCATCCAGTCATAGCCCCAACCCTCGGCAGCAGTTGGGACCACCGTGGCATCCAGTCCGGGCCAGCAATCGTCCTCCACTCATCACGTCATCTGTGGACCTCCGGAGGTTCGACGTGGCACGAGCAATCCTGAAGACTGGCTGTGGTCACATGAAGATCCTAAGCAGTGCCAGCTGCAACACACCATGTGTTTGAACAAACTATAATTAAAATAGCCTTCCAGCACCACCCAAAGAGTGGTTTATAGACCTGAAGATGTATGTTCTATCCAATAACCACCCAAACTGGGTGGGTGCTGGTAAATAGAACCTCAAACCCGTCTTTAGCCTCCGCTGCGGCATCCGGCTTCGGATCCGGACGGCCCCAGCAGGTCAAGTAACGCTGGGAGGTGCTGGGCTGTTTGGAACCCCTCTGCCTTTCAAGTACCCTTCTTCCAAAGAAACTAGCTGCCCAGATCTGCGATCTGCCCAAGCCGAGACAATCACAAGTGCGATCCTTTTCCCGAATGAACCTCTAGACATCTGCCGAGACAACATTGAACAGCATGCACGTACACATCTGCCCAGTCTGAGGGATGAACACTGATGCAACATCTGGATTCCGTCTGCATCCCCGGATCTGTTAGTATTTTAATACACAGAATTACATAACCCAACACTCCATGTATGCCATATATGCCTACATTGGGGTGGTTTGGGGGGTCAATGTAGGCAAATATTCCATAGATGGAGTGTCTGGGTAATAACAAAAATACATATATCAAACAGCATCAACAGCGCTCCAGACTCAATTAGTCTGTGATCTTCCCTCTGCATCTAGATCATCTAGGCCCTTCCCCCCTTCCCCAGGCTCGTCCCCGTGGATGACCCCCCCACCCTGGGCCCTGCTCCCCCGATCACATCTCCCCCTGGGCTTTCCGAACTCGGAATATAGGACGGGGCCATGGCCTAGAGCCGTTCGTGCCCGGTGGTCCTTCCACTTCCGACTTCAGTCACGTCCAGTCACAGCTGCGTTCCATCAGTAGTAGAACTTCGACCAATGGCGTACCACCGTGGCACTTCAGGATGTTCCAGGGCGCCCCGGCAGGATTCTCTTCCTCTTCCTCTCCCTCCTCTTCCTGCGAGGAAAGGATGTAGTATCGAAGGGGAGAGACGGTCCGTCGGATGTGTCCTGTCTACTGGATCTCGCGCTGTCCCACGCGCGGGAAAGATATCCTGCCAAGGTTCGGAATCTGATTCGGGGCAACGAAGAAGGATCAACACATGTCAACACCCATCACTCTCCCTAAAACTATACCCTAGGGCTCCAATTACCTTCTGAGAAAATGCTTGGGGTGGGTTTGAAGGGTCCGAGGATATGGTTGGAGCCCTACCGTAGGGATATAACATGGAAGTGGAAAACCCCCTGTTTGTAGATATTCAATGCTAGTTCCAGCCAGTAACATCCCATGCATGTTACCATGTTACCCATGTCACTCCTCTTCCTCCTGATTTTCCGCGCCCCTGGCCGCAGATGGACGATGAAGAGGCCAGAAGAAGAACCGGCCCCACCAGCGGCTGGATGGAGGGTTTGTCGTTGATCACCCCGGGTGCACATGTGACTCTTGAAGGAACATATCCTGCACGAGCTTTAAGTAGCCAAATGTGCACCAGCTGTCGGCGACCGTTTGTAGTCGTCATAGGAAACGCACAACAAAAAGGGAGGGCCGATGACAAGGACGACCAAACAATGTTCGGTTCTTTGTCTTCTTTCCTGCATCCCACAGATGAGACCCCCAACATCATTGGTTCCTGCGCCGATTTGCCGACCCCGAAATCGGAGAACATCGAAAACCAATGCAGGTATGGTCACGGTTCGGAGCACCCGGTAGGGTGGCCATTCTTGTTGGATGCGGCTCCCGACCGGTGATTCCAGGTACCCCAGGGTGGCCAGAAATGAGCCACATGGCCCTCGCACCAGAAGGGTGATTCAGAGGCAGAAAGCTTTCCTCCACCCCAGGGCATCCAGGCAAACCCCCAGTTCGCTGGTAACCAGTGGATCCAAAGACTAAAACCATATAGACTAGACTAATCCCTGGTTCCTTACTACTTGTGGCTACCTGGGACCCTCTGGGCATCCAGAGATCACCCGAACCTCTCGGACGAGCGCCCCGAGGGGAGGGGAGTTGAGCGGCGCCTGAAAGGAAGAGCGGCCCCTGGACTCATTGGAGTCTCACACCCCTGAAAGGTTGGGGGTCTCCATTGACAAACCCCATGGTGACGGTTTACAGGTGGTCTCCCTAAGTCTCCAGATCGGACTTCCATTCCAGGACAGGTCAACTACCCGTACCGACTCACTTCACATAGGAAGTGGAGTTCACCCCCTTGTTCGTCAAGGAAAGCCAGACCGTCCTGATTCTGAGGTCATCTGACACCTTCGACTCACAAAATGCAGCCCATTCCCGGATGAACTGGCGAAACCTCTCCGTCCATCCCACTCCAAGTAACTCCATCTTACTTACTCCACATCCTGGAGCGACCACGCCTCATGTCCGAATACTCAAAGGCGTCGCCATTGCTATAGGGATAGCTCTGTGTACCGAACTCGGACGGGATCGCCACAACCGGGCGAGTTCGGCGCGGTGGCGCGGTGTCAGTGGCCCGGGAAGGGACCACTGGCCCAGGGTGGGTGGCTTGGAGCGTTCCCCGAGCGAACCGATCCTGACAGGATCACGGGGGGTCTGTGGGAGCATCGGGGGTCCGTAGCGATCGAACAAAGCAGCCACAACGGGGGGGATGAATCCAAGTATATAGGGACCATGCGCTCGTCGGTGCGCATGGTGATTGTTTTGGAACGTTGACGAGAGAGAGAGAGAGAGGGAGAGAGACCACCAAACTCATCCTGTCACTCGAAAGAAACACCAGTCACTCATCCTGCAACTCATCCTGCAGGCCGCGATTGAATCTCTACATCCAACAAGACTTTTCGTCGCAGGGTTTTCCAGGAAGCACCGAGGTGGTCTTCGCATGCCGCTATTCTCGATATGTCACTGATATGTCGTAGGATATTCCAAAATGTGTTCAGCTTCCAGCTCTACTAATTCACGGGTTATAAGTCTATAGACACAAAATAGAACCAAGTGATGCAACCGAGAAAGAAACACATGTGTTAGATCCAGCTGTCAACTGCTGTCAAAGGGTCGGGGACGCAGACCCAGACTTTCTGTGAGTCTCGGAATTGAACTCTTGAATTAGGGTTGTTTGAAGGGTCAAAGACAAAGATGATCGGTCTGGCCAACGATCCTTTACTCCCTCCAGTTCCGATTGAGGAACCAAATAGACTCGAACACTCCATGTCTACATGGCGGTATAGAAATATACGTACCTACATTGACCTTTTAAACAGCCCCAAAGGTCAAAATTATTCAATATTCAATACTCGGTTGTTAGATGATGTTGTTACCAAGAATACCGTTCTGGAGACGAGCAAATCCCATAAGGGGTGTGTCTAACCTCATGCAAGCCATTTGTCAAAGCCACACCTGTGTGAATGCCCTCAGGCCTGTTTGGTCCACACAGGTGGAACCAAAAAAGAGATCTGTCTGTGCCGTCTCAGCATCTTTTTTCGAGCAGACTGAGTAGGCCAAGGAGCTGCAGCCATGTACTGGCTCATGTCGACATTGCCCTCGGTGACCCACAGTGTCGAGTCACATGGCGAGCGCAGCGAACATGTCGACCAGAAAGACACACAGCTCGAATGCGTGAGCAACATGGCTGGTCTAGAGTGGCGCTCTTTCTCTCTCTCTCTCTCTCTCCCTCCCCGTGCCAAACTACCAACAGAGGTTGAAGGACCCTATAGACCATCCCATAGGTACCCCAGTAGGGTCCTATAAGGTCACTTAATGACCTCTCTTGGTACTTCCGCAATCATCCGCAATCTACAGACAGTAATTGAAAACATCTGCTCAGCAAAGACCAATACTCGTGCTGAGAAAGGCACTGCGAAAGGCATCATGCCTGCCATCAGGACATTGGCATCCATACCATCATACCTGCCCATCCATGCACAAAAAGACACAGCTGCAATGAATCCTCCCAGACAATCCATGTATGGAGTATCTATACTAGTAAGATCTAGTAACTCTGGTAGTTACCACGAAACGTCGCCCGTAGCCACCCCCCAAAACCCCACGGAGAACGGGCGCATCCGCTCCCATCCGCTCCGAACCACCGATGTCGTGGCCATCGAAGCCTGAAGGAGGCCCTTCTTTTGCTTGGACACCGCTTACCCCAGAGCTGGGGCTACTAAGTACTAGTCCCCTCTGCTTTTGGATGCCTTGTTCCTGCTTTTGTCCCCTTGTTTTGCATAAAACGATTAAAAAGGGGGGGGGTCACCAATAAGGTGTGACGTACTGCCCCACTGTAGACTCTTGATGATATTTCAACCCCCCAAACTTCAACTACTACAGTACTCCACAGAGCCACCAAGCAAGTCAACTAAAGGAATACCCATGGTCATGTCCATTGTTCTTTCCAGCATGTGTTAAAGGTTATTGGACTCATTCCAAGTTGCAAGTCACAACTAACTATGTACGCAAAGCTGCTTACGCGAGACACGAGACACGAGACACTGCTATACTTTCCTACGTGGTTGCCTACGCAAACCTCCGCCCTTAAGCAGAACAGCCTACGCAGCATCAAGAGCAGATCCACTTTTGCATAAACTCCTGCATATACCAAAAAACTATCTGACAAGTGCCACGCTAGTAGTAACAAGTGCCTTACTAGTAGTAACAAAAAGCTATTAAGTTAACTTACTCTTCCATTTTCCAGTACCAAAAGGACGAGAAAAGCCGCCGGTCGCTGTGCCACGGTCGCTGCAAGTCTGGTCCAGGACTTGGGAAAAGTCTGGGCTTCGGATCGTCCCTGGGGTCCTGACGTTCCAAAGGGTCCCAAAGGTGAAACGAACTGCCAGCGATCCATGAGTTCCAATATAAATCCATGGATCATCATTGTTTTCCACTGTTCTACAGACCATGAACTACAAGAATGAACGATCAAGCAAGCAAACTCACACGAAATCCCATGAATTCCAAGATGTTCCAATAGAAATGTCCCCTTCGAAGCAGACCAAGCGACCAAAATCTCGACGTATTCCGGAACCGCCCAAGCAAGACATACACTGTTTTGTTGTCTCCAGAAGATCTTCAGCCAAAACGCTCATGGACCCTCATACGGAGGGATCGGACCGCACCCTCAAATCCCTATGGTTTTAAGGGACGAAGGGTCGTTTGGAGTGTCTGGGAGGGAAAAATGAAACAAACACACACGACCTTGCCCTACATCCCCAGGGCACATCGTTGGCTGCATGGCTTGCATTGGGAAGCCTGGCTGGCAAGTGCTGCCCAAAAGCTTCGCGACTCGCGACGTCCGGACCTCGTACATTGAACCTAAGCAACAGGGATGTCTGCTTCCCATCCCACTCGCATGCTCCTGGTACGCAGCTCAAAAGATAACCATTCGCGCAAAACGGCTTTCACCGGACATGCTTGGGAAGACATGGGAAAACATACATGGGTGGTGCAGTTCTCTCATTGATCCCGTTGATCCAACCGGTGGATGTTTGGGTGTGTAAGCTTTGTCTGTCCGCAGTCGGAGCTCAAAAGGAAACCATAGGCAAGACTTTGCCCTGTTAAGCTCCCAGTCGCACTTGACTTTAACATACTTTACCAGTGTCCCCAACAATATTCAACGTTTGAGCAAAGAACCAGCAAATACATTCTAGACTGCAGCTGTGCAAATATAAGGTGCAGCTGTGCTTCGTCATCATTATACTGCAGCACATAAGTATGCAAATACTGAATACTGCAAATAATGGGGTTCTTGCAAGGGGGGGGTTCTTTTCAAACTTCTTGCCTAGCTGCCTAACCCTTCCTGCTGCCTAACCCAAACGGAGAACAAATCGAACACCGAAAATCAGGTCCCTGCGCCTCCGGCCATCATCGGCATGGGTACACCTGACTCCCCCGCCGGTGCGACTCGAGCCGCGCGAAGCGCGGCACCCTTCGGCGAGGCGGACTCGCGGGTCCCGCGGGTCCCTGCGGGTCATCGGCACGGACGCGACAGTGACAGTGACAGCTCCCTGGTGGTGACAAGAACGAAGATGAAGGGAAGAGACGACCTGATTCGTGGTTCATAAAGATCGATCGAAGAGTAGGTCCCCCACGATGATGCCATGGTCTTGGACGCCGTGCCATCCTATCCATTTGGGGGTCAGGGCATTACTAGAGGGGTCAAGCTGCACATAAGGGATTAGGGGTTCAGGTGCCATGACCTATATATAGAAAGTCACATGAGACATGCACAAATAACAGGAACACAATCCTCCCTCTTGGTGGGTGCAACCCTTCTGCTTGGGACTACGAAGAGCTGCCAATGGCTAGCTCTTGCGGCTCCTTTGCCATAGCAGTGGCCCCGCCCCAAAACTGCGACGTGTTGGAAAAGCCTCATGGCCTTGGCAAACGTGTAGAAAAACCAGCCCAGTGGATCCAGTGGATCCGATCCACTGAAAAAAAACCACTATGTTGCTTGGTATCACCTCAGGTGCTTCCAGTTCGACTCAAACCTGTCGAAGACCTACCGCGCGATCCCCTGGTTTCTTCAGACCGAACCCGTGGCGGGAAGCTGAAGACGGGGATCGGTGGGCCAAGGATCAGTTGCTTCGTGACATGTGACGAGACAGGCAACCATCCCGGGATGGTTTTAACATAGGACAAGGCACCCAAAGTGTTTTGGATCAACGGAACAACGGAACAACCAGAGTGACACAAATGCACGTTTCGAGTCTCCAATGGCGGACAGTTACAGAGATCCCGATCGATCAAAGGTCTCGGGTTTCTCCGGGACATAGGAATCGATGAATCAACGCTCCGAATACGTGTCCTGAAATGGATAGAAAGGTGGCCCTTCGAAGATACAAAAAAAAGAATTGAGTCGCTTTGTACATTTGGTCCCTGCATTCAAAAAGGCAATCTGTTTGGACAATTCGCACACCCCAAGACTACAGGGCACACCCCAAGACTACTAGGGAGGCAATTTCAAGGCCACATCTATCCCACACCAGGAAGAGCATTTGTAGAAACACCTCTTACAGCTGAGAGTTTAAGAATTCTCGGAGGGAATCAAGTAGGCTGATCTTCTCTGGGTCTGCCCCTAAACCTTCTTTACGTCGGGGTCCGAAGAAAGCATCTATATATAGATGCATTTATTAGTTAGCTGTTGGGGAATCTTTGGTATATTATATAGCCTATACACAGACCGTACCAAAATGCTGCATTTTATGATGTCTAGACTTGTCTTCTACAGTACTCAAATGTACTCAGATCTGTCACCCTTCCGCGGCCGACCCGATTGCGATCCCGCAAGGATCCCGTGCCACACGCGCCACAGGCACCCATGGAGGCCGCCGCCTGGAGAAAGAGAAGCCTCTGGTGATGGACTCCACCATCAACAAAAATGCGTGAAACCCTTCAAGTGAAACAGATTCAATTCTGTGTGTATGTGTTTTTTGTTATAATGTTTGTTTTTAATCAAGCACAGTTTCATGAACCCGGTGTCAAACGGTGTCTACCCACCAGCATGAACTAGAAGGTGGAGATTAGAACCCAAAGTCAGATGGCTGCAAGCCTTAGCAACTTGCTTACACGGATTTGCTTAAGGAGCCCCCAAATTCACCAGTAGGGAAAATAAACATCATCCTAAGCAAAAGTAAGAGACGCCAGCTTAAACAAAGCAACCCAAATTGAACTCCCCAAAATATAAGCATCAGCCTAAAGCTGCCACAGCCCAAGAACCCAAGCGAATTGGACGAAAAACACGAGAAACCAACCTGCAGCAGACTGCTGTTGGACACTCAAACATGTCCCCCCCAAAAAAGCCCTGCCTGCAGCCACTGTTGCATTTGGAACTGCGGCATGGCAATCTGGGCCGGCCACGACTGATCAGCTGGTTGGTGGAATTCAAACGAAAAGGAGCGAAACATGTGAGTGAGTGGATGTCAGTGGGTTCGATCATCCCAAGTACTGTAAAGGTGGAAAACATATGGCTGTGGATCATGGCACGGATAAGTAGACCTCCAGTCCATAGTCCATTCGGTGAATAACTTGGGGTAGTCAACCCAGGTAGCCCGGTGCTTTCGCTCCACATGGCGCCATATCCGAAACCACCCGCCCTGCAAAGCTGAGAACTACCTTCACCAACTCCGAACCGTCTCCGAACCGTTGCGGCTGGAGAAGACCGGAGAAGACCACCAGTCGACTGGAACGATCCGATCGGATCTCCATCCCCAGACTGTCTAGCTGGTGGGTAGGGCTCTGCTGGCAGTCATCCAAAGCCGTTGAAGACATGTGGCAGGTTCCGTGAAACTTGTTCAATGCAACGCCCTTGACCTCAAGCAACTGGTACATCAGTCTGAAACTGGCAGCATCGGTATATCCCATTACCTGGTCCCTGTGGATGATGATGGTTCAGTTGCAGGCCTTGTTCCAAAAAGATCCAAAAAGAGTGATTTTCGTATTTACCAACTGTTGCAGGTAATGGGACAAACCCTTTCAACTAGGTTTTTCTTCTCGATGTCAAGTACTTCTCGGATTCTTGGGGTAGGGAACTAACTGAAAACGCAGCCCCACCAGTACTTCTGCCTGGGTGGTTCCTCATTAGACCTATATATAATAACCAAGCCACAAATGGGCAAATCATGTTAATCCACGGAGAAATTGAGCACCTCAACAAACGTTATTTCAACAATTCCCTTCTATAATATCGGTATTCCCAATTATAGACTTATAGAAGGCAATGGCTGATATAAAACAAACTGGTCAAACATATTGGGGATGTGACCTGCATTGGTGCCAAGGATTCTGAAGTGATGTGATCCACACACCGCACCATTCTCGTCACGAACACCGAAAAACAGTTCCTGTGCTCACTCAGTTTGCAAAACTCCTTGGAAAGTGATGTTCATTCTCGATGTGAGCACTGAATATACCAGCACCCGACCTCACAGGTCACCACCCGCCACCTTTAAGTCTCCAAAAGCCACCAGGTCGGAGACCTGTGGAGTCGGGTACTGGTAGATGTTCATTTGGCGTAGCTGTTGCTTGGTGCAAATCAGGAGAATCCGGGCAAATCCCTCCAACACAACTTCCCAAAGTAGTCCACATGTCGAATTCAGCGGCACAGCTCATGGGAGATGAGATTCCACCAAGAATCCATCGTTCTGACAGACTTGCTGAAACTGGCCAGCTGGCCTCACCCCAAAAACATGGCGAAGTTGTGCCAAGCAGCCATGGGCGAGGCCATGTCCTGTGTCTTCCTGGGACGCAGCCACCAAACGAGCTCAAATCGCTCAGCATCCATCACCTTCTCCCACTTACCAGTAAAGGATGGATGTCCTAATCCATCCTGCGCTGTGTCATCTGCGCATGGTATGGTGTGTGTGTGTGTGTGTCATCAGCAGGAACGCACTGGAGAAGTTGAGCAAGGAATCCCACGAACTGTTCATGGAATCTCCCAGACACTGTATTATATATATATATTATATATAATATGTATAATATATGTATATATACACACACACTTCATTACACATCCGAATAAAGACAATCCGAATAAAGACACGGCCATTCCCGACCCCAGGCTTTCTTGAAACCCCGGCAAACATAGCCGAATTGACCAAAGACCGGCACTGGGACCCCAGATTCCACGAACACATTGAACATGTCCCGGGCCTTGCACGAAGTTGAGTAATGTTCTTTTTGCAAAAAATACAACCTGTAAGCAACGGTTCAAAGACGGGAAGACAAGGAGTGGACTACACAGCCTGGATTTTTCGGATAACAAGGAGTGGATGCCTGGTACTACTGCTAGTGCTAGTTGCTGGCTGAAAGGCTGGCTGCCTCGGCTGGCCCCTGTGTCCTTTATATAAAGATCTTGAACGTGTCCATGTCTATAGCCAACCATGACTTCAGTCTACTTGGGAATTCGCTGGTGTTCCCATAGTCGCCCCTCTTCTTCGCATGTTCAGATTCACAACCCTCATGAAGCTTTGCCCCACTCAGCTGCACCTGTACCGGGGCTCCCACGGTTGCTTGCCTTTAGCATTCTTGCTCTTTGCCATGCCTGTATGGCATCATGTGTTTTTTTCGGCGCTGGGCTTGGAAGGAAAGGCCAGAAGGGAATTCTTGAAGCAAGTGTTTCCTCTCTTTGTCTCTCAGCAAATCTTTTGTGATCCCAAGAAATTCTGTTTGTTCATTCATCCTGTTTCGGTCAACTTGCCTGAGGGTCACACCGAGGTCCCACTCACAAAATCGATCATCTTGAATGGGCATCAATGGCCACCAAAGTACCCCTCTACATGAGTTTCGAAGCATGATTCTTGCCTGAGAAGAATCACAGACTGAGAGGAATCACATGGCACCTCAGGAGCACGTCAAAAAGCCACATCGCGGCCTTGCAACGCCTTGCCGTTGGCATTCTTCTTTCCACCTCGAGGGCCGTTGACCGAAACAACTGCAAGGCAAGGCTGCTGAACAACAAAAGAAACCAAGCGGTCTCGCGGGGGCACGACCATGGGGACATCTGGGGGGGTCTCAAGGGTGAGTTTGACACGAGATGCGTCTCACGGGACCAGTTTGACACGATGCACCGACCTTTGAATGCACGATGTGGCCCTTGGCTAGCATCACCATGGTGACTTTGTTGGAAAAAAGATGCATGGTGAACAAGATCTCCAGCGACTTCCTGACTTCCTGTACAAAAACATTCAAAAACACGACTCACTGAGGCATTCCCTCATGCGTCGCTCCAACTAGGATTCGCCTCTCTGCAACCACTGGCTGACATCGTCCGTGGATCTATGTCTTTTCACTCAGCAACACAATGCAACACACCTTACGGAAGGGAGATAGACCAGTCGACCCATCGTCTGAAACGCTCTTGCTTCTTCGAGCATTCAAGGGTCTATTGCGGACTGCTCATGGCCACACACCCCGCCAAGCCTGCAATGTCTTCGACATAAGGGCTTGTGTGGCTTTAGGGATTTCTTGTAGCTTCAAGTCTGACGTCCATGCGTCTCTATCATGTATAGAGCACTGAGTAAGGTCCGCGTGGATATCGACATCTCTATATCAAAACTTTCAAATCCACCGAATTCGAATCCTCTCAATTTCCGGTTCAACCTCTGAGGGCTCATCTTCAGGCGTCCAGCTCGCATCTCTCTATTGTATGCAATCCTCCTGCGCACTGAACGATTGTGAGTTGCATCTGCCACCAAATTTGCTCGAATTTCGGTTTCCGGCTCGTCCTCAATCTCTGATGCCTCTTCTGAACTCTCAAACATGTCACCTTCAATGAGATGCTCCTCAATCCACCTGTCTGGGTTCTCTGACTCACACGGAAACTCTGCATGGGAAGAAGAAGAAGAAGCGTCCACGTCTTCCTCCTCCTCTGGCTCTTCCTCATACTCAGCGCCTCCTCGAACATGTGCCCTGTGGAACTGGCGACCTGTCATACCAAGTCCCTCTTCATCCAATGCAATGTTGGTGTCTGCCACTACTGCTTCACCGTCAGCAGTGATGATGGCCATAGTCCCATGGCCATTCGTGCCAGAAACAACTGGGCTATCGTCCTCAATCTCATACTCTCCTTCAACATCTTCCAGCTCACCAAATTGGCGACCTTCAACTTGGTCTGGACGGATGTCGCCAGCTTGTGCATCCTCACTCAAGCTGTCTGTATTGTTCGAATCCGGCTCGTCCTCATCTCTGGCAGCTGGAATTTGCAGCTGCTTCAACACGCTCTGACTCATCATGCTCTGCACCTGACTCCTCATCTCGATTCAAGTCGTCAAGTTCATGAGCCTCTGAATCAATAGCCTGTTCTGTAACACCCTCTTCTGTCTCTCGAATTGCGGTTTCATCCTCTGTTTGAACTCCTTGTTCAACATGTTCTGTTGTCGTCTGAATCTCCTGATCGTTTTGCTCTGGGGTTTCTGTCTCCCCCTCGCTCATTGCAAGAATCCTCCACCAAACAAACCCAGCGAAACCAGCAAGAAGCGAAAGAACGACCATCCACATAAATGCACGCCCAAGCGCAAGACCCTCAAAAGAATTACCTTCTGTGCCCTGAACTAGGTTCAACAACAATGCACAAATGAGTTGCACTGCATTGCCTTGCTGGGTCCTACTGCCCCGAACGATTCTGTTTGTCATGTGTGTCCTGTTCTCGTCTTGGTAGATTGTTTCACCATCTCCATATTCTATGTCATGCAAAAACATGAGCGTACAATGTCTACGGAGTTCCAAGTTCTTTGTACACATGTCAGCGGGATTGAATTTCGTGGGAGCCTGATGGATAGTGAACTCTTGGCGCTGAACCATTTGTTGAATCCACAAAAGCTTCCCCTGCAAGTGCCTAACACGACATACTCCAAGCTTGTTTGCTATCTGCCTTGCTGCACTGTTGTCTGTGATGAGCTTGCAATGCACGTCAGCATCTTTTCTCACGAACTTCACCAATGCTTTGATGTAATGCAAGTCGATGGAACAGGACGTCATGCTGTACCACTCACTTTCAGTCGAGCTCAATGCAATCAACTTCTGGGTTCTAGAAGATGAATAGATTGGAACTCCGTTCAGAAAATGTGAGCTTCCTGAAGTCGACTTGCAACCTCAACTACCTAGCCAGCCTGCATCGCTATAGCTCTCGACCAAGATCTTACTTGTTTGCTGTTCTCCTCCATTCAACTTGCAAAACAAACTTTGTCCTGTCGATGCTTGTGAAATGCACAATGGGATCTCTGATGTGACAACACTGTAGCTGATCAACTGTCCCAAACATTCCCAAGCATGAACTGTTGGTGTTTTGAGATAAGATGCAAGTGATTTGGTCGTGAACTGCAAATCTACCCTGTCGTGACTCAGATACATGAGCGACCCGGTCAGCGATCGATAAATGCTTGCCATCTCCTCATTCAAAGGTGTGCTCGTGTCAGAATGCGAAAAACTGCGAGGTGTACCTGGAACCTTGCTCTTCTTCAGCTTTTCAGTCCACTGTTTGTACACATCAAAACAATGCTTCGCACACTGCTTCTCTGCATGAATGAACATCTTTGTATAGTCCGGTTCAATGACATGCACTCTTTTCAAAAACTCTGTTGTTCCTCCTTCACCTTTTGGCGCATAGTGAAAATTCACCCTGTACTTTGATTCAAGCTTTGGGATGACTGTCTGCAACAAGGAAGTCTCGCTACCCCAGAACAACAAATCATCAACGTGTGCCAGAATCACGCATGCACATGGTAAACGAAACATTGAGGGTTGCTCCAAACAAGTTTCACCACCCAGCATTTCATGAATGTCTTTTGCCAAATGATCATACCACCGTCTCGCAGCATCTCTCTGACCAGGCAAACATTTGCTGATGTAAAAACGAACCTGTGTTTGTCCCTCTAGCTTCAATGGTCTCATCTTTGACTGCGGAACCTGTAGGTAAGCGTCTGTGATGTCACCACTGTCAAGAACAAAATCTGCTGTCTCCTCGTCTTGGGTCATTGCCAGAGCGGGAACAAGTCTTTGGGCAATCACTGAACTGGCCGGTGCAAAGGTGTCGTCTCGTGAAAACGTGTTGAACTCCCTTGCAACAAGTCGTGACCTTCTCAGCCAAAAAGCTTCATCCCCTTTGTACTTCTGTCTCCGTGCGCGAAAAATTTTGAACTCAGCTCTCCACCAAAATCCTGTTTGTCCCAATCCACAACTGCATCAACTTGTTTCCCATAGCACCTTCTATCATGTAAGGTTGAACTCGAAACTGATCATACATGTCTCGATGCACGCTCCAATCAGAATCAATGGATTTGATGCTTCTAGTCAAACGATTTGTACTCCCAATTCCAACAATGTGTTGATCGTTTGTGTTTGTCTTGCCCAGCCAAATACCTCGAATCCACCTCAAATTGCCTTTCTGTTCACGAGTGTCCTTCGAACCGATGTAGGCCAACACTGGCGAACCGAACGAAGTGACCTTGCCCCTCTCTCCCAAAAGCAACTTCGTATGGTGTCAAGCCACCATTTGGAAGAAAACGACACATCAGCCAGCTCGCATGGTTGAATGCCCATGCAAACAAAGGATGATGACATGGAACTGTCACATTCAAATTCAGCTCAATCTCTCTCACCAAAACAAGTGCCATCTGTCGTACACGATGAACACAAGATTCAACCCAACTGTTCGAACCGTGGTCCAAAGGTTTTGTTGTTGTGATGTGTGTTTGGCTTCCCATCTTGTTTCTTGCTTTCTGAATGGCCTTTTGCAACGACAACAAACAGGTTCATTGTCCGTCCTCACTTCAATCTCATCGTGTCCCAAAAAGTTGAGAAACCTACAAACCTCTGCAAAGGAACCTCACATGGGCCTTCTTCTGAACCGGGAATGCTGCCGTGGAACCTGTCTGCGAGTCGAAGAGCATCAAGCAAAAGCAAATCAACCTCTTGTGATCTGGAGGCAGCACACGTTCATCCGGTGTGAAAGGCTCAGGCTTCTTTCCTGTATAGCAAACACCCATAGAAACACATGGGCTTGCTCAGTCCTTTGAAGACAAATCTGTCTTGTGTGCGTCTGGTCTACCTTTCCCTGCAACACATGCTTCACACCATGGTGCATACGGCAAATGGGTCACTTTGTGCCGCAACACCTCCTCATCCGAAGGCTTTGGATGCAAAACCTGCGTATTGGGCTCTCTCACAACTTCTGCTTCAAGCTTTGCTGCAACAGAAACATCTGTGTCTAGCTGTTGTTGCAAAACATGATTCCTCAATCGCTTGTACAACTTTGTTCGACTGCCGGATGTCGAAAGACCACAAGCCTTGCATCTGGCCTTGAGCAACGAAGCACTGGATTCAACTGTAAGTACAACTCCTTCGATTGTCACACTTGCTGGATCTGACAATGAAACAGCTCCAGCCCCGCCCACTGGCGGACTCAACACCTCCTGTGAAGTTGGGATCAAAGCCCCGCCCTCTGAAGTGCTCAATGCCTTCTCCTCCATTGCAACATCGCCTTTCGACTCTTGAGCTGGTTCCTTCAAGCCTTGTCGTGAACTGCTGCTGTTTGCACCCATAAAAAAAGAAGAACTCTGCTTTGTGATCCCCTCTGAAGCGCAAACAAATCCAAGATCATCTGGACCTCGAACATCTGCTGAAAGGATTGTCAAGCTGCTGTTGAACCGTTCACCTTTTGGGTCAATGCTATCAGCTCGATTCCCCATCAAACTCACTGCTTCACACAGCCCTGCAAGAACCAATTCCTACCGCCATAAACAAGTGTTGTTCTGTATGGGTATTGTATGATCGACCTTTGTCCACTGTAGTCAACAAACTGTTTCGCCTTCCCAACAAATGCAGGACGACCGAACAATTCATGCCAACCACCTGGAAGACTGCACCAAGCCTTTGGAACATCGACTGGCAACATGTCTGTGGAACTCAATGCATGTGTCTCCTCAACAGCCCTGATCGTTCCTCTCAAGACCAATGAGTTCTGCTTGAACTCCACTGCCAAAGATGCACCTGTGTCATGAACCAGCTTGGGTGACTCACTCTCACTTGCTTTCAAAGACCAGCCCTTCCTAATCAACTTGCCGAATGAAAGAATGGGATTGCTAACACTCTTGCTGATATAGCCAGTCTCTCTCAAAACAATTTCTGCACCTGTCTCGTCAATCAAACAAAACGCAATTGTTCGACAACCTGATGTAGACAAACATTTGCCTTGGCAATCTTGCAACACTCCTGCAACATCGCTCTCAACACCACATGCACCAAAACTCTCTGGCAACACTGTGGCATCACTGCCTGAGTCCAAGTCTTGAATCAACACTGCCGGAGGCCTTGGACATAGCACGTACATGTTGCCGGCCATGCCTCTTTGTCTCAACTGTCTCATACATGCTGAAGTCAAACTCCAAACTCTCTCGAAGCTCAACCACCGGCAAATCAAGAGGAACTGTTTCAACATCGTGATGCAATATCACTAAGGTCAACGACCAGGCGACGAACTGTACCTTGGCTCGACTGCTGCTGAGTGCCACTTGAAGCATCCGTCTGCTGCTTTCCACCTCCAGACGTTTGTTCATCAACCTGCCGAACCTTTCCTCGTTTTCCTTTTCCTTTTGCATGCCAACAATCCTTGGCCATGTGACATGTGTCCACTTCGACCGCAATTGTAGCATACGGCCTGGGACTTTGCTTTTCTTTTGCCCTTGTCTTTGTCTTTGCCTTTTCCTTTCTGTTCCTTTCCTTTCCATCCTGAATTGTACGAATTCCAGCCTGAGTTGTATGAGGTCCAACCCTGACCAGAACCATACCCTTTTCCTTTCGACTTGCTATCACCTTTCTTGCCTTTCCTTTGCCCTTGTCCTGAAACCGGTCAACCTCCATGTTTGTCGATTCACTGTTCTGCTGTTGTGGCAATGTGGAACCAAAAGCCATTGTGTCACTGTACTTTGTTGTTGCAACATCGAAACGAAGGATGGTATCACGCAACTTGCCATAGTCTGTCGAATCTGTCAAGTTCAATTGCACCCAAACCTTCAACTCTCCTGTAATGCAACGAAGCAACACTGCTGACTTTATATCGTCTCCAAGTTTGTCACTGATCTTGTTGTACTCATTGAATGCTTCCTCAAGTCTCAAAACCTGACTGGTCATCGACTCTTTCATATTGAAAGCTGGCCATTGCATGATGACCTGAAGAAGCCCCATCGCTCGGTTCTTACTTGCAGGCATACAACTGGCCACCAACTGACGTGTAGCCTCGAGACCGTTCATGTCACAGACTGCACGCAACAATGTCAATGGCCTGTTCTTGAGCAGCGAGGCCAAAAGTCCGTACAAAAACATTGTCCTCTTGCGCTCCTGCTCGTCCATGCCTGTCATCTCAATTGCTTTGTTAGGATCCATGCCTGATCAACTCTAGATCTCTCTCATACTCTGCATCGATTGTAACTAGGTATTTCTCTAGCGACCAAAACCAATCTCGAAAACTCGAAAGCTCGGCCTCTCTGTCCTTCGGTGCCCAAGAATTGGGTTTTGGCAAGAGCTTATACCAATCATCACTTCTCTTTGGTGAACTGCTGGCACTAGTGGCCAATGTCAAAGCCGCCTGAGCGGCCTGTGTAGCGGCCTCTGTTGCTTCAACCATACGCTGTGCTAGGAGAGCACCATCGATAGCAGCTCCACCTCCAACAGAGGGAGAACCACCTGGCGATCCATGGACTGACATCGCCAGACACCGGTAGAGCTATGGGTCCTGGCTCTGTCGGTGCCTGGCAGGAGCCTCCCCACAGATCACTTGGAAATGTGGATCTTCGGCTCCGCTACCATCTGAAACGCTCTTGTTTCTTCGAGCATTGAAGGGTCTATTGCGGACTGTTCATGGCCACACACATCGGGTCAGGGGGTCTCCCTGTGAAAATACGCGCACTTCATCTCTCCTCCGTGGTTTCACACTGGGTTTTCACCCTTGGCCGCCTGCGTTTCCAACTCGGGATCCTTCCAGCAGCTCGGAAAGGCCGGGCACCTGCAAAGCTTCGCAGGTGTCTTGGAGGGGTTTCTGTCCTCGGGAACCTTCGAGGTCCAGGAGGTCCAGCAAAAAAGAGAAGTGAGTGGATTCACCAATTAGGAAACAAACCCCATTTTTCCCGATCCGCAAAATCATACGATTTGGAAGATCCCTGGGAAGCAAATTCTTTTACGAAGTGGTCGCTGTTTCTAGCGAGCGTTGGGGTTGGGATCTTGTTTTGGATGTGTGCCTGGACACCAAACTCACCGCCATCCAATATGGTGTAGGTAAGCTTGCCATGTACCCCAGAAAAAAAGAGCACAAAAGGAGGCCCAAATGTCATCGTCACCCAATCGCGGACATCCAACTCACCTTCCGGAGTGTTTAAGAAACAAAAGGTCGTCACATTGATCGTCGCCATGAAACAGAGAGCTGGATCTACCCAAGAAGTCCTCATCCAAACATTCCAAATCCGTCTGGTTGTTGTAAATTCCTGCGAGAAATCCTCCCCCCTTTCGGGCCAACAGAGGTAGCCAGTGACCTGAAGCAAGACCCGTTTATCAGGGGTACCCAACTAGGACAGTCGAACTAGGTTTCTTCCACCTCTGGGGGGTGAGTGGTGTGGCTGTCGAGGTCCCGGTCCCTACGGAGCCCAAACACGACCCATGGGACCTGCATATTTACCTACATTGGGGTGGTTTCAGGGGTCTAAAACAGGTTTAATGTTTCATATACAATAAAAAAACAGTCACCCGGACCAAACGACAGGTCAGGAAGACCCCGGGTTCAGGGCACTACAGCTATTTATAGCCCCACCTCCGTGCAAGGATGTGCAAGGTATACATATATATATAATTAGAAACCGTTGAACCTTTACCAATCTCCAAGCTTTTCCAGGCCATCTGATAATGCATCATGAAGCACAGACTCGTTGCTACTCCAGGCGACATGCTTCCATCCAATCATCTTTTCAACAACAGGTTCCTGGGCTACTGAAGTCTACCCAGTCTGGAAAACCTCATCGTTTTCAAGCCTGCAACAATTTGCAACAAACTCACCAACAATTCCCGAAACGGTCCGAGACAATATGACCAACATTCACCACCCCAAAGCACCACAAGTGGAGACTACCGCACCCCCTCGAGTCGCCAAGACGACGCCTGTCCAGCACCGCGGCTGAGCGCGCCCGGTGCTAGGATCTGCTTCTTGTTGTTGCGCCCCTTCTGGGCCTTGAGAAGGCACGGCGCGCTGAACTCGTGCGAAGGTGGCACAGAAGGTGAGCACCAAAACCAAGAAAACAGGGTTGGTATAGCTGAAGTGTCCATCCTTGCCCATCTGTATCATCTTACCAAAATCAGGTTTCGCAAATCAACTGCTTTTCCAGAGTAGGGATACCACAGTTGCCCTTAGCCTGCGTGGGTGCTGTGAGAATTTAGGAAGAGTCTCAGATGTTTTGTTTTGGTGGGAAAATGAAACAAAGTTCAACATCTATGGGGTTGAAGAATGTATCTTTGCAGGTTTGAGAAACAAGCAACTTTCTAACATCCACCTGCAATGTTATATATATATAATATATAAAAGCAAAAAAACCTGCAATTCCGGACACCCCCCAAAACCCTAAACCCATCCAGAATTATCTGCCCACATGTTTATATATTTGTTGCGATTTCAGCGGTTGCTAGGGTTACTCTGGTATCGCTAGGGTCGCTGACTGCCTGTTTCCCCGGCAGATCGTCCAAGAGGAAGGGCTCCTGGCAGGTGGGGCTCCCGGGTGTCCGGTGGGGGCCGAGGATTTGGCCTCCAGTCGTACCTCCTCAGGACAGCCTCACCCTGGACCCACCGCACCGAAACGAAGGTCGTACCTGGGAGCCTGGAGCGGGGGTGGCTTTTGGGATGAGTTTTGGGTGAGCCTTGAGATGGTTTGAGGTTACAGCTTTCGGGTCAGACGCGTCGCGCAGTGAGGAAGCATCACTTCGAAACCCAAGGTGAGGGAACCGGCATCACTCCTGGGTTCCACTGGGCCGTGTTTGCGAGTCCAGCGGCCTAGCGGGCTGGCTGCTTCAGCTACAGCGTGTCCCCCATCCTTACAAAGCATAAAGGACCAAGGGCGAAACCACCCAAGGGCGCTTGGTCTTAGTCGTCTTGCCAGGAATCTACTTCAAACTTCAAAACGCGGCGCCTTATCCGGACTTCTCTCCCAACGGCCTGGCAAATCCGGCTATTATCTCTTGAACTCCAATATATACCCAAACACTAAATGAGACTGGAATATATATATATATATTATGCTACATTGAGCCCCAAAACCACCCCAATACAGGCAAACATGGCATACATGGAGTGGATGGGATCTTGTTCAATTCAATTCTAATGGGCTCGACGTCACGTGTATAAAACGTAGCAAGACTTCCAGGAGATCCGATAGAGTCGCTTCTCTTGGATCTTCAAGTTTCGCCTATCAATCTGGCTCCCCTCTCAAGTATAGTGATCCCCCAATAGATAGAAACGGTTTCCAATAAACCATTAGTGGGTCTATTCGGGGGTCTATATAATTTTACACCAAGACCACTGAAATGGTGGGTTCTTCCCAATGTCTTCTTTCACGTCACCGCACGCTGAACCGCACGTCGCCGCAGTGTGCGCGCTGTTCACCGCAACCCGTTTTCGAAGGAAAAGGACGAAGACGGACCGTCCTGGTTTCCTTGCTCGTCCAAGAGCACCGGCAACCAGTCCGGATGTCCTGCCTCAGAATACGTCCGGAGCTGGAGGTTCGACGCCGTACGCACCCATCTACGGACGTACGGATCTCATCGATGAGGCACTTGTAGGTAGGGTACTACACTCCCGAAAAACTCACATGGACCTGGGTCGAATGGCACCCTGTGTCCAACTGTTTTCCTCTACAAACCAGTGGTTTTGAGGGCCGCGGGGTACTTCAATTGAATCATTTCTTGGTGGTTACCAGATTGCCCGATCTCCTTTAGCAGTGCAAGGCTGAGTAGCCACTTGGGTGCACCCTCCTCCAACACATCCGTGAGCGTGAAACCAGATTGCTTGAAACACCGTTCAGTTGCTTTTGGACTTCTAACGCAAAAAGCTCACCAATCCGAAACCCAACGTCCGGACCGGTCCCAGAAATGAGTCCGGCCGCCATCGAAAAAACCAGCTTAGTCCCATGTGATGGATCCACTGCTTCGGTACTTGGACCTGCTTCGGTACTTGGACCCGACTGGCTGGCGCCACAAAACAGACGGTCGAACACTGCTCACCGTACCTCAAAAGGTATGTGGATCCATAGGGTTTGTGAAACAAACATGTTCAAGATTGGACTGATCTTCCAAGGGTCAGGACCTGGGATTTCATGAAGTGAGTGCTCAGCTGAAATTCAACATCCATACCTTAATGTTCGAACGGTCCAGGTGTTCATGGTCTGGTTTCGGGGTTGGCGTTCTTTGATCATAACTCGCCAACGCTCCGTGGACACCCACGCGCATCCGGCCTTTTTTCCGGCTTCCGGGCCGCCCTCGAACGGCTGGAGAATTCGTGTTCTCAGACCCATGGTCGAAACAGGTTCCGTGCTCCTCCCTATGCATCCAGCGCCCAGGTGCGAACATGAAACCTTCCAGCCATCAGCCATCTACGTGATTGAAAACACCAAATGAACATAGCTAGTCAGATGGCGTAGTCACTAAAGAGGTGCATAGATCCATAGGGGCCTGGTGAAACTTGAGCCACTGGCTCTGTGGCAACATGGAAGCATCTTCAATCACGCTTGCCCCCCTCTGTGGAGCCACCCAACACTTTCATTGAAAAATCTCCCCGTTTCAGCAGTCTGCCCCAACAGGACCGTTCGGTACCCCAACAGGACCGTGGGACATATATTTATACATTCATGAAATGCGTCAACCTATGGCATGTATTTTCGGCTGTTTGAAGACCCGACCACAGGTTACCAAACTCAGAAACGCAGGAAACACCTGCTGCTGGATTGTGCGGTATAGTACATGAAGCGCTTTTTCTGTAGGGTTTCATCTTGAAACTGCACGAAGCCGCTGCAGCTTCGTAGATGTCACGAAGCCCGGAAGCTGTATGGTCCCAATGGTTCCACAATGAACTCAAGACAACACCCAAACTACCAGGACCTGGACCTTTTGGACGCCCCGAGGTATCCTCTAACAGGTACACCCCGAACGGAGGGTCCTGGGTATATTGGTGTGAAGACCATCAGCATGCGATTGGTCCAGATTGAACAACATTGAATCAACATACAACCTGACTGTTGAAAGTTGTCGTGTGCCCCATTCTCTGTTTCCCATGCTCAGAAATCAGCTTCGCATGTTGCATCTATATTTTAGGCGAATGCGGCTGCTTTTTCGGCCTCCGCTTTCCCACGAAGAAGAAGAAGAAGAAACCACTCCTTTAAGTGACTTGGATGTGTGGCTGCACTTCCACCCGTCACCCGTTACTCGTTCCATGAAGCGCCGTCAACGCGCCGCCCGCAGCCTGGCCATGGTCGCTCCGCTCCGCTCCAAGCACCGCTCGCTACAGCCGGCCGAGGCTTCAAGCGGAGCCCGCGGTGGTTTTGGGGGGTTTTGGTTGGCCAGGGAAGGAAGGTCATGTGGGTCACGTCGATCACAGTCACGTCATGAGATAGGTGTTCTTACTTTGGAAGTGTCGATGTTTTAAGGTTTTGAGGTCTTGGCAGTCAATTGAGCTGCCAAGTTCACCTGGTCGAACACCCCTACTCGGATGGTAGTAAGCAATCATAGCATCAACTTCTTCATCAATTACTCTATCTTCTATGATATCATCTGATCTAAATAAGATAGAATTAAGATAGAATTACTTAATCTAGATCTATATCATAGCATTTCCGCCCAAAACCATCCATTTGAGGGTGGCCGGATAGCCCCCGATCCCACTTCTCGTTTCGCACCGATGAAGAGACGAGCCTCGTCATGGATCCGTTGGGTCGCACGACCGCGCCGAGCGGAACGGCCCCGGACATGGAGGGTGTTCGAACACGGCCTGGATTCAACAGAATTGGATCAATATGTTAATTCAAGTCCATCTTGGAATATGGGTGTATGTGTGTATGGAAATAGGGAGACCTCCCAGTTCGACCCCCTGAATTCGGTTCGGTTAAGGACCCCAAGCGATGCCAAAGAAGAAGGCAGGTACGTCAGACGTGCGCCACTGCACGCGACGACGTTCGGGCGTGCCAACGTTCGGCCGAGTCCGATCTGCAAAAAGGGAAGGCTACACGAAGTAGCTCCACGACCCTCCTTCCCTGGGCAAGTGGACATCGCCAAGCAAGCCAAGCTGCCGATGGTTTCATGCCGGATGGATCTCATGGACAGAACTGAGTCTGAAAGGGACCTGGGTACCTGGTCTCTCTACTGCTCTGCTTCAAACGCGGACGGGTGACTTTACCCGTGCGCTTCTAGGGAAGGTGGGGTCCTAAGCCTGCGAAGACCTTTCCATGTGAGTTCCAGGGAGAGTCTTGAGTCTTGGACCTCTTGGACCCAGTTCAGGATCGGATCCCGAGACCGAATGAGTCCTGAAAGACGTGGATGTCTTGAAAAAGTAGGTCCAAACATCAAGTTTTAAAGAGCAGAAGATAGAATATTATGAACCAATCCCAAAGCATGACCAGTTTCCTTTTAGATTTGTTGGATGTTTCCCATATATTCTGTATATCTACTCCAGGATGACTATTGTATAAGATACAAAAAGGCAATGCTGCGTCTATTCAGGCACAACCTCTTTGCAGGACTGTTGTTGGTGGATTCCGGACAATCCGAAACCATTATGACCTACGATCACTACCTCGAAAAAGCAAAGATCCACGATGCATCCCTCGGGCGGCTTGGCACATCTCAAGAGAACAGGCAAAAGCCCGATGGCAATGGGCCGAAGGAATGTAGAATTTCATTCTGCAGTCAACCTATCAACCCTTGCAACACCTGTAGAAGTTCCAAGAGGTCTTCCTTCTCCGACGGTTTTGTTAGGCCGTCCCTTCCCGTCTGACGTGGGTGCCACGGCTCCGTCTGCACACCGCCAGCGTGCAGAAAGAAGGGATGGTCCAAACTCATGAGCACGCCTTCCCTCTCCTTGGGAGACCTCCCATGGAGAAGCTCTTGTTTTGAAACATTTGTATAGCTCCATGGGAGATCATGGGAGTGCTCGAACCCTTTCCTCAGAAGGTAGACAGCCAAATCTACCCCAACAACCTTCGAAGCGGAGGTAAAGAAAAGGGAAGTGGGTGGACGAAGAAGTGACAACGTCTGGACAACAGCCAAATGGGACCCTTCGTTCCTGGCCCATTGATTTCATGGTAGCTGCCAAACAACCAATTGTCTCACTAAGAGTTAAAAAATAATATATATATATATATATAACACCAGGTCAACCTTTATGTTAAAAGGTCTTTGAAGGCTAGGGATGACGCTTTAAGCATCTTCTGGCCCTCCCTTGATTTGGGGAAAGGAGGCAGGTCATGAACTTTGACCTACGTTCACCGAGCAGAGTCTAGAGCTGTTTGTCCATGCTTGCCCAGTGGCATGTTTCGCAGTGCCCCAATTCTGCGATTTGAACTGTATAGCTGTAGCTCTACCTGCAGGAACATAGTATACTATTCACACATTATATTTGTTATATACTACGATTCTCATTATGTTATATATATATATATCAAGCGGAAGGAGTTGATCTCCACCAAACAGCAACCCTGGAATGCCCTGATTTACGCTGATGAGTGTAAAATGTGTTTCAAGGGACATATTTGGAAAAGACTTTGAGGGAACAGCCCCATACTGATAGCCAATCTACTGCAAGGACATGGAGGTTCCCTTTTTTCAACCTTCGGATGGTGCTTTGTTTTCCAGTGTCACGAGAGCTACTGACTGTCTCATTCCTCACGCCCTTCGATCTGCCACACTTCGTGTCAGCTACGGACCACGAAACAAGTTCGTGCCCGCGCTGCGGCGCTCGAGGGTCCCTTGAGGCGCCCGAGCAGCGCCCGATCTGCGGCCGCACCATTCGGAGTGCATCAGGGGACGGCAGGACTCGGGGTGATAGACCAAAAGCAAAACAGCTGGAGTCTTGATGGTTTCGATCCAAACATGTGCAGGGTCACCCCACATCCAACTCATATCATATATAATTACCTGGACCCTCCAACAGGTCACCACCTGACACTTTTAAGTCTACAAAAGAAACAATACAACAATACGCCTACCCTAGAAGTCCACTTCGACCCAGTTAGACGACATTCGGCCCAACAAGTAAAGATCATTCCTGAAATGGGGATCACCGTTCGTCAGACCATGTTTAAAGATGTTTAAAGTTGCTTCCCAGGGCCACAGAAGTGTAGGGTGACTGGCTGTTTGGCCAGGACACTGGAGTCTCGAAGACTCTGCGGGTGTGCCATGACTTTGCCCGGGTTTGTACCCCTCCCTCCAAGCTACACACTGCAACCATTGAATTAGCCTGTGAGGGGCTGAATCACGTGGGGAGCAGTCCCAAAGTACTTGTTTGACCCACATTGGTTTTTCAAGCAGGGCACTGGTCCCATTCACCAGATTGAGTAGACTGTCCCAATAAAGCAGTTTAGAGGCTCCAATCATCTCCAATCACGTCCTCAGAAGGTAGTTAGTAGATACCCCCCGCTGGCACCCACCCCAACCACCCAACTGAAAATGGAGGTCAGCCAGGAGCCCAGTCAATTGTAGACGTGAAACAGTCAGCTCTGCTGGTTGCCCAGTCGGATCTGGTCAACTTGGAAAAGGTGTGCAAATCATCGTGTTGGAGGTCAAAAAAAGCAATCTGGGTCTCTGAAGCTTGGATTTGCTTAAGGAGCCTGGAAATCATCAAACATATTCTCCAGACGCGGATTTACCCATAGGGCACATAGAAATCACCTTCAGTAAAACCTAGGAAGGCAGATCAACCGCTGCCGTCTTTGTTTACATGTCAATAATCTCCCTCAAAACAACATCGATTTGGGAATTTGGGGCTGATGTTGGCCCCATGGACGTCTCGAAGGATGTGAAGCACAATTCGGTTGACCACTTGTCGAAATTCCACTTGGACCACCTGCCCACAAATGGATCCATATACTCAAGCTGACTGAGAAGGTGATGCATACTCTCTGATGGAGGATCCAGTCGGACCTGAGAAGTGAGCACTGGATCCCTATGGCTTCAACAGGATCCCTAGGTGTCTCTCCTTTGTTTGAAGCTTTGAGACCTGCCTCCCAAAAGGGGTGAGACGAGGCCGCCGACCTGCCGTTCGTGGTATTTGGGATCCACCATTCGCCTCCGGCTGAAGCACCGCCGGGAGGTGGTTCCCGCGCTGATGGAAAGAAACGGGATGAAAAACTGACGAAGAAAGGGCGCACGAAGAAGACACGAAGGTGAAACTGAGAAACTGAGAAAGGTGAAACTGAGAAACTGAGAAAGGTCCTTCTTGTCTTTTGTTGGGTTTTGTTTGTTTGTCTTTGTTTGGCTGGAATCTGGAGGAAGCAAAAAATGCGGCACCTTTTCTTCGGAATGGAACAATCAATCCCTGGAGCCAGGTGTGTTTTGCGAGGACTTGAGGAACCATGAACAGAACATGGAAAGGAGCTATTTCTACCTATCCTCAACAATCCATGATGTATGTCATTGACCCTCAAAACATCTTGAAACCACCCTAGTGTCCCCAACTCTTAAATAATTACATGGAGTGTCTGGGTACGGAAGCCTTGTTGGACAGGTTTGGAAGAGGGATTGACTATAGAGTTTTATCGGAGGTTGTCTTTGGTACTTGGACCATTTATGTGGTCATATGTGCTCAGTTACTTTTTCAGAAGTGCCAGCTGGCACATCTATAGAAATCCCTACCCTAAGAATCCTTGGGTCCTCCATGGCAGGGTCAGACCCTCTATAGCAGGGGTCTGCACCCTCCAAACCCTTTCCATTGGTTCCGGCCCAGATTCTTAGGGTGGGTGGGCATCCAATGACCTCCTGAAAAGGTGCTATTCGGAGGAGTTGGCGGCCGTGACGACCTTATGAGGTAGTTGGAGCCACAATCAGTAGCAAAAAAGTTAAAAAAATAACCTTGGCATTACGCCCGTGCACCACAACGTCCGCCCTGTGATTGCAACCAGGAGTCAATGCTAGATGAGGCCCAGCCGCTGCCGGAGCATCATAAGGTCCTGGATTTGTCGAAAAGAAGTCTCACAACCTGGATTGAACACATTGAACCAGGTCGCGGCGGAGGTCTGTTTTGGCGGGCAGGCCTCATTCCGAGCAAACCTAAGAAACATAAACAAACACGTCCATGCAACTCAAAGACCCCTCTGACACTTCAATCCACTACGGGCCCAACTCATCGGCGCAGCGCAGGGCGCGCCCTGCGCCGTGGTCAGGTGAAGCGTCGATGATCTGAGCTGATTGAGATCGGCCTGATGATGGTCTGGTGGTCCCAAACAGATAGGATTGCACGGTGTCTAATACATTTTGAGCGGGGAGATGTGGGGATCTAGTCTACTGTTCTATCTATTTGGGGGTCTATATAGGAGGTGAAACTATTCCAACCTGCTTTAGAGAAAGCCTGGACTGCCATGTCTAGCATGTCAGGTCTCACAACGAACAGCTCGAGATCTTTTTTGGTTCAGGCCTCTGAGGGTGGGAAAAACACAAAATGGGTTCATAGCTTTAGCTGACAGACTCTAGACTCTAGGTGTCTAAACTAGACTCTTGGGTTCTAGACAAGGTCTTCTAACATCTTCTAACAGTGAGCTTTAGGTGACAGACTCTAGAATTGACACCACTGGCCTTGGCTCTCGCCAGCAGGCCCTGACCTTGTAGAGGGGACTAGAATTGGCCGCCACCCTGCGAGGACCGAAATCGCATGCGATCAGGTCCTTCTTAATGCAAACCACATCAATGGATCGGGCAGGGCCCTTGATCATCATGCAGCCTTCCAAAAACCTGGAGATCGAAGAATGGCCCACAAGACCATGGAACCGGAACCCATTGCCCATGTCCGATCATGTTGGACTGTCTCTCGCTGTTCAGGGAGAGACTATGAGAACTACTCTATGGAAGATCTTCTTGGTCTAGGATCCAAATGTCAGTACCCCTAGGGCTCCAAGTACCTCCTCAGAAGGTATCTGGACCCTCCTGGCACCCACCCCAGTCCCACCTTCTCAGAAGGTCCTTGGAGCCCTAGGGGTACGAATTTTGTTGGGTACTCCTCTCTGGGTCGGGCGCCCATCGGGCGACTCGCTTTGGGGTCGGGCGCCCATCGGGCGTATCGTCCAGTGGCAGCCGGAACGAGGGCGATGCTGTCGAAAACCCAAAGAATGCGTCTTTAACCATCCTTGCATACACCAAAAAGACCATGCGATCTTGCAGAGCAGCTCGTCCGTAATCTGGGTCTTGAATCTAAGTAAGACCCATTTCCTGATCTGTCTACTGATCTTGGGTTCTCGGAAGGCCTTTCATCGAAGCAACGCTGCAGACATCCTTCACCCCACACACGACACGGTGACCATCGTCCATCGCCAAGCAGCTCGTCGACATCCACCTCCCCGCTTCCATCGCGGTCCAATTGTCCTGCACCGCGTCCGGTCCGAGAACGGTCGCACGGTGCGGGGCACTCTCTCTCCTTGGCCCGTTCGGAGAGGGGATGCCCCTGTCGACGTAGAACAACCATTGATTTATATACAGTTTGTACCGAACAACCACCGTCTTGGTCCGACCCAAGTGGTGTCGTCCTACCGATCCGGTTCCCAGTGAGGTCACATCTGATCACTGGGATCCGGTCGCAAAGAACACTAGAACACTCTTGCTTGCAAAGGGAGTCGATGAAGTGTCAGCGCTGACGCACGCGCTCTCCAGAGGGCGATCCTCTGGCCCCCGGGTATAGAGTCTATACTATACCGACCGGTCGATCGATTCTCCTTCTTCCTTGGGGGTCGAACTGGGAGGTCTCCCTTTTCTGAATCACACCTATTACCTGTATAGTTGTTACACCAGTCATGCTTCTGAAAGGCGGGCATATGGTGGCATTCTCTGAAATGAAGCTGCAAACAGCCTCTTGGTGGTGGAAAGCTGTCTTCTTCACCCCTCAGTGGACACATGCGTCCTTTGCAACCAAAATCACATGCCTCATGTCCTTGACACACCCAATGGATCCAAAAAAAAACAAGGTGGTTCCAAGCTGGATCTCTGATGATTCTTTTTCACATCTTGTTGATGGATAAAGAACAGGACTGGAGGATGCAAAATAAACCATTCCGGTAGAGGGAAGAAGGTGGTGTTCTTCCTCAAAGGTCAAAAGTGTGCCATGAATGTGCGAAGCTCTCCCTAAGAATCTTGGCCGGTTTGGAGGGTTGGGACCCCTGAGAAAGTGTCGCGTTGGTTCGCCCCTGCCATCAAGGGCTCGTTCGGAGTCGACGATTGAGGGCAGAACAGCTCCTCCCCGTGGAGTGGACACCGATCCAAACCCCCAAACCCCTCCAAAGGAGTCAGGGTCGAACCGAGCTCTCCCGCGTCAGGGTCGAACCTTTCTCCCACCCCCCAACTCGCTCGCTAACGCGCAGCCGCGGACTGCGAGCAACGAGCGGCGGAAAAGATCCCAGGCATCGGTGCTGCTGATCTCCAAAGCGTCGAAGACCTGGGAAGCGTCGCAGATCGGAGGACTCCCAGGAATTGATGCCATAGACAGGACCTTCCTTCGGTGTCTATAAAGAGCCTCTTAGAGGTGATTTGGGGTGTCCAAAAAACACCTGTTGGAAGGTCCTGGGATATATCTGTTTTGTTGATTTAGTTAGTCTAAGTATTGGTTATTCGATGTTATTTGTAGTTTAATGCATGCTTGGTACTATGATTCTTACCCTACTGATATCAGCACACAACCTCCAACAGGGGCCAACAACCAACGAGGATACCTGTAGAGTCGGGTGCTGGTCTTAAGATTCAATAATGTAATATATACCCTAGGGCTCCAAGGACCTTCTCAGAAGGTGGGAGTGGGGTGGGTGCCAGGAGGGTCCAGATACCTTCTGAGGCGGTACGACTGGAGCCCTAGGGATATATATATATATATATACCAGCACCTTCAAAGGGGTCACCTGGCTGGAAGCCCCTACACTACTAAGGGACCTCAGACAGGACACCCCGAAAGAAGGTCCAGGTATATATATGCATAAATTATATATCTAGTATGACCTACATTGGGCTGGTTTCGACCAATATATGTGGAGTCTTTTGTCCGTCCACCGGGTGTCAAATACGTGGTGTGCGGCTCGGGGCTGAACGAATTGATATCCGGCTCGGGGCTGTCATCCCTTCGGGTTCCGAAGCAAAAGGCTGCGATCGTTCCCCACTATGGTTCTCTTTTGGTGCTTTGAAAGTCCCTATGTAAGCTCAGTTGTCTACTCAGCAGTCACATGTCGCGGCAGGCCGTCTGTTCGGACTCAAAATCATCGGAAGCATAGCGCATAGACCAAACGAACGGTCGGGCCCCTGGATAAAATATCCTGGTTCCTGATGTAGAATCTTGATTCATCAACCCCCCATATAAAGAAGTGTTTCAATCCAAATGGGGAAGATGAATTAGTGGCTGCCTGGGACTAGAGTGGCTGCCTGGGACTTCTGAGAGATAGTGCGTTAAGGTGGTAGTATCAACTGGGGCTCATGTGACGAAGGGGGGCCAGGGTGGACTAGACTGACTAGACCAACTGACTAGACCAACACACTACGAGTTGCTTCACATACACTCCCAACCAAACTGGTGTCCGAGTCTCGGCTCCTTGTGTCAATCTTCCAACCGAACATGGATCTTTTTGGAATACAGGCCCATTCAGTGAGCTTTCAAGCTTCAAATCCCATGCGTTCGTCCGTTTCACCAAACAGGGTAGGAACGGCAAATCAATCCGACAGCGAGGCTGGTGAAACCGAGAACACGGTGAACACGGTTTGGAGTCGCGTCCATCCTCAAAACAATGGAAGGTTGACATCCCTGGCCATCATTTTCATGTCCAGACCATCCCTTGGACTGGAATAGTTACTTACATTCATTAAGGCCATAAATGGGGTAGATATGGGTATATAAATTAATTTATATGTGACTAACCTTCAATTGTTCCATACGTGAGATGAGTCAACCAGGGACCCACAGCGGACTGTCCAACATGTCCAACCAGCTCCGGAGCCGGGTCCACTCGGATCGCAACCGACCCAGGGACTCCACGGACGACACGCCCTGGTCACCATGGTCGCCATCGCCAGGACACCGTTTGGAGCACCGGATCCTTCCACGCTCGTTCGAACTCCTTTCGGGTGATGCCTGGCCGTGGGGCGTGGGCTTCGACCGAGCAGCGAGAGGGGAGGGGCGTCTCGCGGGATCTCCGATCTCTTGGATTGGATCTACGTCTGCACATGTTGGAAGCATCTCAAAGCAGAACAGGTTGGTGAAGAAAATCAGGAACCTCTTATACTCTTCTTCCCTCCTCCACACCGTGGCAAATAGTGATTTGCCACATCCGCGCGCGAGTTCCGCCTCCGTCGGAGTTCTGGTCCAGCTGTGTAAACAGTCGGCGCACTGCGCGGAAGTATTTCTCCTTCCTGGGCGGACAGCCGGGTCTGCCACACACGGTCACTCCGTCTGACTGTCGCCCTCGTCTTCCGGGGGATTGGGCATCGATAACACGAGGGGCTTCGATGGATGTCCTCCCGCAGTAGGAAGTCTCGGAGCCGAAGCAACTGCTACATGGCGCCATGGGTCAAGGTAACTGACCGACCGGCTTTTCCCACCAAAGATGAACAGAATAGACTACAAAGGAGGTCAACCTACCAGGGATTAGGGTTTGGGGTTTTGACCCACAACCACATCTTTGAGGGTGCTTAAGTCCAACACCCGAGCGAGTTCACCCGGACCCGCGAAGGGGGTTGGGTCCCTAACTCTGAGCCCTTGAAGATGATTCAGGATGTTTCATGGAACATGTCTGAGCTGAAAACACATGCCTGGACCATTTCTGATCGGAGAAAATGCCTCTCAGTCTTGCTCATTCTTCCTGGGGTTCACTCCAAAGAGGACGGAACCAAGGAGTGAAGACGGGGAAGACTTCCAATGCAAAGAACCTGGACCCGCAAGGGACACCCCTTGACCTCTAAGGGGCTATTAATGGACACCCTTTCCGTGGTGCTGGAAGTGGTTGTCTTGTTGGCTGTTGGGCTTTCCAAAATCGCTTGCAAATCTAGGTAATTCCCTTCCTGTCCGGGTCATGGCTGCGCATTTCGCGGAGCAAGAAGAGTTTGGGGATTGTCACTTTTACATGACCCAGGTAGCTCGCAATCCACAACCTATTGCTTGGCTTCAAATTCAAGTATGCAGGATGTGGATCAGTTCGACAACCAACATGTTGAGTGGTTCCAATTCAAACCCATTCGAGGATGTCTGGGTGACTTTAAGCCATGCCCGTGGAAGAAACCACTTTTACTCAAAGGGAGTCTCCAACTCAAGTACAGGGGGGTTAAGACCTTTCCCCACTCACCATGACTTCTGAACGGAGTTGCACAAGGATGATGTGCAGCTCCTCAGTGGGCCTCCTGAGGATTCAGGTCTGAACGATCCCCAAGGTTTGAAAGATCTCCAAGCTGCTCTTGGGACACCGACTCCAAGTTGAGTTCGTGATCCTCGCCGCAGATGAGTCTTGGAACCCCACGTGCCCAGACGAGTTTCTTGAACGAACATGTGCGGAACCGTGGGGCTTGGTGCCCTCCAACGAGGTGGAACAAGTGCATTTGACGAAGATAGAACAACATAAAACTACCAGCACCCTCCAACAGGTGTTTCCTGGAGGCGACAGGTGCCCAGAAACCACCTATTGGAGGGTCCTGGCTATGTAAGTTTATCAGTTTATCACCTTCAATTCTAGCAGCTGAATGTCCCGCTGAAGTCACCCTCATCCTTCACTTGGTAGTTGTACTTGTGCTATCAGCTGCATGGTGGTAAACGAAGTGGTCTTGGCTAATGTGCGGAACATATAACCAGTCCAATAAAAATTGAACAAGCGGTGACAGTGATGAATGGAAACTCTCGGAGTAACTTTCCGCGGTAGTCGCGTTTTTCATGGTACCACTAACTTTGAATCAGGTTCCTCCTTGCCTTAGTTGCTACAGAAAAACACATGTGTCAGATTCTTATACCAATCTGAGAATTGCTATAATGACCACAAACAAAATCATCATTGAGGAACGCAATACAGCAGTGTTTGCTCTTTTGTTCCTCCTGAAATCCAATCAGTGAAGGTCCTTTTCTGCACTCTCGATGGCGCTCTGACAAAAGACCTGAAACGTGTCCAGGCATTGGACTCTGAGTGCAACAATTGCGGAAATGGCGAAAAATTGAGGTGCCAAACGGTTTGAAGTGATGCCAAGTACACCAACTATCAGCAGCGCACCCCCAAAACAAAACATACACTGATGAGATGGAAAACACATACTGTACAACTTTCAACATTCGAACCTTCGGATGATTGTTTTTGGAAGCATGCATATACCATTGCCATATCTGCAACTTCAAAGGTTGAGGTGGAAATTTCAATCTTTGTGTTTTCGATTGCAAACTTGAACTTCATTGTTGGTATTGAAACTAAAATGTCCAAACATGCATCCTGTGTACAAGATGTATTGAACCAATGGCAGGAAAGAAACACATACAATTTACAACGCATCGTCCAGCAAAGTTGCGCCAGTCATGACGTTGAGCACAGCAAAGTTGCAGAAAGCTATATACGCTTCAAACAAAAGACCTCAGCGGAACATTGAGGCAAACACCAAGCATGTGGTTTGTGGCCTTTCCGGGTGTGAACAGGATCCCACGCTGACATGAGTGGGTCTTCTTCAAACTTCCAATGCTTGGTCTCATAGGTTCATGTGGAACTACATGCCATCGTGTGTCCATCAAACGTGCCGCCGACTGTCACTGTCTGAAAACAAAATATGCTGCGGCTTTGTTTAAAAAAATGTTTTCCCGAAAAAACAAGCAATTGTGGATGTGGAAGTCCGCCATCCCTGGCCTAGGGTCTAGGCCCATGCTTGCGGACCCTGCCTATGTTGAGAATTTGCGCGCAGAGTTGGATGGGCCCAGGCCGTGGCGAGAGGTTTCGCTGGGCGGTTTCTAATCTGTCTTGTCGCATACCATGCTGCCGTCAGATTCCATGCTCTACTGTGGCGATGCCCCCAGATCTTGGCTGGCTACAGCTAGCTTGCAAACAGTCAATTTGTTTAATCATTGTTTTACCACGTAGTTGCAACAAACAGTTGTCCAGTAAGCTCAGCCAGCAAGGCAAAGTCATGCGCCCACGTTGCGCGAAGATGCGTCCACATGGCAAGCAGCTTTACTGACGAGGGGAAAAGGCAACCGTGCAAACACACGGCCAGTGCAATTAAAGCCTCCAGCACCGAAAAGTCTTAAACTTGCGCTTTGCTGATGTGACACAAGCCATGGGCAAGAGACTTTGGGCACTGGCCCCACAACCGCTCATCATCCATTTCCGGCTTTGCCAAGGAGTAGTGTCTTCACTGGGGTTATCATTGCCTACGCCGATCTCTGTCACTTGTCATGGAATAGGAATAAATTACTATAAGGAAACGCCCATGTCCATGTTTGGCCCTTGCCCTTCCTCTCCATGTCTCCGGTTACTTGACAACAAGCTCTGATCCACGGCGCTCACGCTTGATAGATATGGGGGGATGGCAGCTGTTCAGGTACCGAAAGCCAAAATATGCGACCAACTCATTGTCTGTGAGCCGGCATTTAAAAATGGCAAGTAAGCGCCGCACGCGTATTGAGAGCGCCCCTGTCTTGCCCGGTTTGTCAAAAGCCATGTTGTGGCACCGCCTTTTCCGAAAAACGACGGAGGTCGCGCAGGCGCACTGGGGCGCAAACCTCGACATGATAGAACAAGCATACAATAGGAGAACGCCCAATTGAGTATGCTTCTTTGCGGGCGTCCATTGAAAAATACTTGCGGCCACAGCGACGGCGCCACGGAACGTAGAGTCTTCACCACAAAGCACTGTCCTCCCGGACTGGCGCCTCCACTCATGGTGACCCCCCGATTCAAACGAACAACTGGACATAGAAAGAGCTGGCTCCCTTGCGCATGGGCGGCCGGGGGTCAACTCACAACATAGCCAGGATTGAGCCACGTTAGAACACCCTTGTGCGTTCAAGGAAAAATGGTCTCCGCAAGCTGTTCCTGGGGGAAGCACAGCTCTTGCTTTCCACATTGTGCGCTGGATGAGGTTCCGCAGCCATCGCCATCAAAGAATCCGGCTCCGCAGCAGCCGGGGGCGCAGCAGCAGGCGGCAGCACAGCGGCAGGCGCGTCAGGTGCTACCTCTCCTGCTGGGCCAGGGGCACCAGGAGGCGGAGGAGACACCGTTGGCAAGGTGGTCCTGAAGGCCAGCTCCAGTTGGTCCATGTGGGCAGCCAAATCCAGGAGCTGCTTCTCCATGTCAAGGTTCTCAATCACCACCGGCTCCCCAAAGGCAGCCAGCGCAGCCGCCGCGGTACCCTCATCCACACGGATCTGGGCCGAGTCAAAAAGGGCGTTTCACAAAATTCAGGCAGTGTGCTCACATTGCTCTTCTCTTGAGCCAAAATGTCCTGGTGGGACATGTTGGTGTCTTTTGTGGACATAAAACTTGCAACCGCAAGCTAAATGCAAGTGTGAATTTAAACTTGTTTACTCTTTTTTACGCTGATGATGCAGCAAGTCAGAATCAATCTGTAAAAAACGGTCTATACTACTCTAAGAAAAATAAAAATATCAAAAATACCCCCCCAAAAAAAAAACTAAAAAGTTAACCAAGAATGTAAAAATATATTTAAACAAGTAGAAACATAAGTAAGCCACACTATACGATATTATAAGAGGAAGACTGTCAGATCGAACCCCATCACTCATACCAAAGGTGATAAAGGTCCTCCCCACATATAATCGATATACTTATATATATATACATATTTATTCATCTATATATAGTATTCCCATGCATTATATGCGGATTTACCAATACCCCGACGCTCCATGAGACCGGAATAAAATGACCTACATCGACCGCTGCCGCAGTCCAGAGTCCGGAGTGTCTGGGAGTCTGGGAAGATCGACGAAACCACCCAAGTGTCCACCAGTTACTAGGTGCCCGGCCCCAAGCAGGTGAAATATCATCGAAGGCGTCGCGCACTTCGATCCACGTGAAGCCTCCCGTGATCGAGGCATACCTGAGCGCAGGACCGATCGAGCAGTGACGGAGGTCTCTTTTTGGGGTGAAAAACAAGCCGCAGGTCTCTCCACAAACTAGCTCCACAAACTCACTCATTAGCTCTCAAAGCCAGGGTAGGGCCAGGGAAGGGCCACTCCAAAGGGGGTACCGACTCAAAATTTCCATGAGAGGCAGGCCAATACTAAAACGCCAAAAAAACGCGGGGTCCCAAAAGACATGGAAGGCCCGCCCAAGGGGGTGAAGGATTTTGAAGAGAAAAAACGGAGACAGTTCCACCTGTGAGGCATGGTGATCGGCGTCTGATTTTAAAGTCTGATGGTGTCTGAAGGGTCCTCTATTCTCACCGCTTCAAAGGCCATTGAAAGAAAGGCTGACCTGGTTTGGTAGTCTAGAATCTTTAGTGAAACAATATTTGTTGCTTGGGATTCGGACCATTAAAACATATTAAAGCCATGGTGGGCCACGAAAATCACAAAACCCCAAGATTACTTTTAGATACCCACATTGGGGAGTGTGCCATCTACTCTCTATCCACTTTACATCACCCAAACTTCAGAAATGGAAGACGAATATACGAAATGCACGGACTGTGCTTGAAGCATGAGTCACACGCTAGCTTCGCTAGCTTGTGCCCCGTTTGCGTGCAGGCGTTTCCAGGACAGAAACTTTGTTTCATTGACTTCAAATCGTTTTTCAAGGACCGAGCCTCTTCGCCTCTTTGAGTATCTTGGGCGGGTGTGATGAACTTGAAGTCCTGGGGAATAGTACAGTTACTGTATATTCAAGAAACTCAAGAATTCAGTTTTGCTGGATTCTAGTACTTGCAAGGAGTCATTTGTTGTGCTTGGATGGGTGCAAACTTCTACAAGGGCTACTGATCTTGACCCGAGCAAACAAACGAATTTGACAAGTCCTCCATGAACCCAGTTTTGGGTTGTCTTCCCTACTCCGCAAGACAGAGACGCCCCAAACCACTTCGGAGTTTCAACCAGATCCCATAATTACAATGTGTTTGTAATCGGCAACATGATGCATGTATATTTGTGTGTGGTTCGTTCATAAACATGAAAAATTGGAGTCCACGAAAAAAATGACCGCCTTCCTTGCACGCTCCTCCCGCGAGTTTTCAGACATGGTTACAAGGTGTGCATCGAGTCCATCAGGGAGCCTGTGCAGACCCGAGATCGCCGACCCGAGACTAAAAGAGTTCGGTGGCAACATGGTTTTGCAGTGTAAACCCTTTAAGAAAAACAAAATATACATGACTGTAATACATTTAAAAACAAAAATAGATCATTATCTTATATAAATATTGTATATATTGTACGTGGTTCAGGATTTCGGCGATCCATTTAGTGGGTTAGGAAGGACCCAGAAGCTCTCGTAGGGCCATGTTCTTTTTATAAATGCTCTCTGGGACTGCCCAGGCGACCGCGAGCGACGGACACAGCAATGTGGGCACTGAAGTGCCAAAAAAATTGAAAGTTGAATGATTCTGAGATGATTTGAGGAAGATCCAGGTACAAAAAGGTGTGTCAAAACATGCTGCAGGATGGAGGCGTGGGCCTGGGCCAGGATGAAGGGAAAAAATTGAAGCACAGTGCTGACACCTAAGTTGACTTAAGAGATCAGTCCTGATCAGTTCCAGTTCTTCTGATTTCCCGTTGCGCCTGCCCGGCGATCGAGGAACTCTCCATACTTGCCTTCCAGCCCATATTGGGCAATATGCTCAGTACCTGCAATGGCTGAGTGAAGACCCAATGAGTCCAGTGCAAGGTTTTGAGACAACATACTGGCTGGGCAGTCTTCCAAATTCTTCAAAGCGAGGGGTCATCCCGGCCACCATGTTTCTGGGAGTCGGAATGATTCTCTTTCAAGAGCGTGGATGAGCTTGCAGAATTCTATGTATCAGGTAGATGCAAGTCATACCAGGACCAGCAGGAGGTGGAATGATCTTTCTACGTGATCGTAAGTGGTTCTTGCATGTTCTTGCAAGCACTTGTGCCATGTGCACGAGCCTATGACGTTGACCCTGTCACGGAGGGTTTGCCTCTCCTCATAACCCCTGTAGTTATTTTGTTGGTTAACCATGGAAGTCGTTGAAGTCGCACCACAGCCCTTTCCCCAAACCATAGTTGCCATAGTTTTCATGCCGGGAAAACACCAGTAAACACATATAACACGCACCTTGACTCGTTGGGCTGCTTTGGGGTCGTACAAAAGGATCCCCTCGCTTGATTGTGCACTTTGGAGGGTCCAGGCACACACACTTAGATCCATGCTCGCAAGAGCTAAATCAGTTGTGAAGTTAGGTGAACACTTAGCACTTGACTTGACTCAACGGTAGGAAGTGCTGGATCGGCAAGAACAGAATGTTTCAACAAAGCGCGTTAGCCCTTTAGTGAAGAGTAGCGTGAACAGCTTGGACAACAGTTCAAGAGAAGCAGGTACACCGTCAGACGTCTCTGACCGCTTCCCATGACACCACTAGCTTCGTTGGCCAGAGTCGTGATGTTATGCGCCAGTTCTGTACATTAAACCTATCTGGTGGTGTCAGAAGTCCTTTGGAACAGGACGTGACACACACAGCCGTTCCTCCTGCTGCCGCCAGCCCAAGACTCACCCGAAACCGCCGAAAGGCGAATAATCGATGCTCCGGTGTGGGGAAAAAAGCGAGTCATCGTCGGTCGAGTCGAGTCATAGGTCCTCGGCGGAGTTTCGTCATCGGTCGGGTCGAGGTGTGGGCACAGAGGTCCGTGAAGATCAGCGCGAAGAGGAACATGATGAGCAGAAGCAACACGGCAGACCAAGCCATAGCCCGCAAGGTGCGCCCAATACCTCGAGTCTGTCGTGCTCGCTCGGTCATAAGGAAACCGGTTTGGGAGGGAAAAACCACCGTGGAAACATTGTGTTTTTGGGGACGTGCTGTTTTTTTTTCATGACATGAAAGCCCCCTCGCTACTTGGGATTTTGACATAACACCTCTTCATGAATGGGCAAATATATGAATCAACAGTCTATATTTAACTGTTGGGTTGATGTGAATGAACATCCCTTCTCGCCGATATTCTTGGAAGGAAGAAACCAAGCAGAACTCGGATGGGCAACTGGCGGTCGGGCGGTCTACTCAACTGCTTCTTCCTTCATGCAAGGAATTATGCAGCTAAACCAGCCCTCGAGGGCCTTAGAAAATGATGTTCCAAGACAGGTGTTCAACCACACACACCCGGCTAGGACAAATGTGAGTTCGCCAAGGGCTTTGAGGTGGTCCTCGTTTGGAGTGATAGACTGGTGGAAGACGATGTCTCGGGATTCCAAGAATCATGGAAGTGGACCATGGCCGCTCCGAAGGCTGATTCTCCTCTACAAACGGCCAAAAGGTTCCACTTCCAAGCTTGTTGATTCCAGTAGGTTCATCTTCTTATCGGTCGACCCAAGTGCCGGAGGGCCGTTGCCAAGTGGATAGATGACCCAGCACTGATTGGAAGATGGATGAAGATGGGCAAAACCGAAGGAACTTGCACAAAAAGATGTCCAGTTCCACATAATGGGGTGGGTTTGGAGTCTCTTCCACATCATGTTCTTGATCTTCCACAGCAACAAAACACCTGGGCTCCGATCCAACCTCCGATCCAACGACCAGCGAGGGTGGCTCTACGGTCTCCGAAATGGCGATGGGAGACCTTAAAAGCAGACCTGGTGGTGAGTGAGCTGGCATATAACAGACATGCATATATACCTGATACCCCAGAAGAGTGATAAGTATCACTCCATGTGGAAATGATCAATCTTTTGGAAAGTGATATGTATACTCCCTGGAAAGATTAACATGGAATCTGAGAACCACTAGTACTGGTTTGACGGAGCTTCCACCAGTCTTCCTTGCAGCTCGCCATCAGGTTCGGTCTCACCGGAACCTCCGCCCGGTCCACGGGTCTCAGGGGTCAAACCTGTACACCAAGCGGCACAGGAGCAAGGTCCGTAGTGAACCTGGAGGAGTTGCGACGGACCGATCACGGCTTCAGCCGAAGAACAGCGAGCGGGCAAGGCGTTTGCCAAGGGGTCTACGGGAAACTCCCTTAGCTCCGAATTGCGCTGATCCTGAGCAATTGAGCCCCAAAAGCGAAGAACACTCATATCTTCCCATGGCACCGAAGCAATGACTGGTGTGACACCTAACTCAGTGCAGGTCAAGTACAGAAACATGACGATGACTCAAATCCCTGAGGAAAAAAAAGACGGGTGTCTCTGCGGGCTTCGCTTTTCCTTTTTGGTCGGAGCTCCTCCATCTATTCTCCCGTTTCGGGCTGGCGACCGGTCGCAGCGACCCGTCGACCGGGGGAGCTCGACGGAAGTCGCTGGAGCTCGACCGAACGCTTTCCGAAGACGAAGACGACCAGGGAGCATATCAGGAGCATCCAACCATCACCAGGTGTCCCGGCAGTATCCACCTGACCTACAAAGACGATCCGGGATCTCCAGCCAGGACACCCAGATGGTCGTATGAGGCTCACTTGGAGGCTCACGGGGGTTGTCCACACATATCGCCACCAGACAGGAAGAATCGGTCTTTCTATGGGTCTCATCCCATGATGATCACTCCACCAAATCCATCAAAAGCCGGAGAAGTCTAAGAAGCCCCAATTGGTTTGACGCAGTCTAAGCCGCGAAGGGATCTGCATGCATCTAACTATACCAGCACCCGCTGCTTTGAATGGTTTTGCTTGGATCCACAAAACCAGTCATCGTCTTCCATTCGGCACCCCTTTAGGGCCCTGGCGAATGAAGCGCACCAAGCGAACCTAGGACCGCACCGAGTCTCACCGGGTGCGGGGCTTCATCACCAGAAAAAAAGTCTTTGGCTGGGAGGGGCAGGATCTTCGGGCATTCGATTCTGAACAAACTGGCTGAATTCACCCACGAAACCTGGATGATCCAAGATATTCCACAAACGTTCAAAGACCCCGAAGCTCCTGTCCATGGGTGAAATCTCTCGTGGTTTGTGTTCTGTTGAGTCGGTTGAGTAGGTTGAGTGCACTGATCGACGAGTGACATGAAACTGGTCCATCTGAAAACCGTGTTCCCAAATAAGAGATATACCTGGACCCACCCAAGTACCCTGGAAAATGGGACATACCCTATTCAACAAGAACGACGTACAGTACGTCGTGCCCATTTTTAGGAGTACGAATAGAGGGTCCAGGTATATGCTCAATCTCTGTATCTATATGGTGTACCAACAGAATAGCGACTTGCTCATGTTGAACACCTGCTTTTGCTGGCTCACAGAAACAAAACGGAGTTGTTTAGACGAACATCCACATATGATCCTCATTCACCTCTCCGGCCGATTCTCCAGCCGATCCTGATAATGAGGAAGTGTTCATGGAGGCTGCAAAAGATTATGCCTGCATATAATGTATAATGAAATATATATATATATATGTATGACAAATGTGTTCCTCAATCAAATATATATATATAATATGATGCAAGTAAAAACCTCTTCTTTGGACTGTCAAAAGCCAACATCTTCCAGCCCCCAGTTGGTAAATGTCTAAACTCGATTTCGTTTGGTCCTCCATCCTTGCGTTTGACCGCTTTATCCATTGCAGGACAAAGGTAACCATGTTCCGCCAGTGGATTTGTTGGTAGGGAAAACAGTCCGCCAGAATGCTTAAAACTTAGCCACTAACGTAAGGTATAGGGTATAGCCGGTATAGCTCTTAGTCGAACCCTTCCCGTGGCTTCACCTTTTCCCCTCACCAAGGCACAATGCGGAAGGCGCGAGTAATCTTGGCCACCCGAAGGATACGCAGGAGGCGCATGTTGGTGAACACCTGCCAAAACCCATCGCTTTCTACCCATCGCTGTACCCATCGGACCTCCGAGCCGTCCCGGCCCAAGGACCGTCGGGGTGCGGTCGAAGCACAGCGATCCGAGCAAGGTGTTTCCGGAACGGTCCAAGGGTGAACGGAGTGGGGGAGAAGCAATCCCCAAACAATTGGATGGTGGATATATATATATATATAGATGCCTTAAAGCAACAAGAACCGTGATTCGACAGGTGTCTGTAGAAAAATAGAAAGATATCATCTCCTTTTAAGGAACACCCGATGTTTTTTGCTGTTTTTCAGGATGTTTCACTGACCCCTTTCTCATCCTGTCCCGCCGTTCCGCTCACAGATTTACCCATGAAATGAGGCTACGCGCTACTGAATGTCTTTAGCTTGAACCCATGGGAAAGACTCCGAAAAATATGAGCAACAAACATGTTGGTGTTTTCAGGTGTGTATAAACCGACAAAAATGCAAAACGCTTAAGAGCAACCTGCAAAACATGTTCCGGGGGAAGGTTCAAATCAATGTAAACATTGCGGGTTACTACGGGTACAATTCGGGTTCGGAATGGGTTGGCACGGGTTGCGAAAACATCATGTTTTGTCAAATACCCGAAGTATTCTTTGTTAAACAGTGCGGGCTAGTACGAGTAAAGTACGGGTATAGCACGGGTTTGAAATCCACCCATTGCTTTTGTATCACACTGTGTCTCAGGTGTCAAGATCTTTGGAGATGTTCTTCACCACTCTGTATAGTCACAGTCAGAGCAGACACTTTCTATGAATTGTGTCATGTGTTGTTCTTGATTCTCTTTGTGCAGTCTGTATGCGAGCTGGGTGCAGGAATGAAATTGGACCTAGGCACGAACGGACGCCCATTCAATGCCGGTATTCTTGAACAAATGCCTTTTAGAATGTCAAAAACAATGAGGTTTTGGAAAACCCGATGTTTTTTGACAAAGCCCGATGTCTATTAAAGAATGTTTGTGACAATCCGATGTTGTTGCGCTCACCCCTTGTTTACAGGTTTGGGTGCTGAAGGTAGATGGTAAAGGCTATTATACGAGATTATCCACCCGAGCTAGGTCAACGGAAAGTTCACGCGGAAAAATGCTTCCACGGTCCGAGCGGCGTTGGCTTGTTCTGTGTCGTTGCTCGATGAAACGATGACCTGCGGGACGGCCGAGCCGAGAATCTCTCGGGGACCGGTGCGGCGCCACGTCATGGGCACCCCACTCGATCGAGGCCAGGACCTCCTTTTGAGTGTGCGGGAATAACCAGCTTCTTCAGTTCGTGTACGAACTGAAGACGGAGTCCCATCCAGTATCCAGTGACCTTCTAAATTGATACATGACCGAACTGGTGACCTCTGATCAAGTTCGGTCACTTCGGATTAAAGCGTTTGGAATGGATTTGGAGACAACCTTGAGCAATGATGCCCTTTGGGGAAACATAGGGGCCGATTTGACACCACATACCTACAGGGTTGTTCACTTGAGGGATCTTTAGGGGTATCCCATTGGTATCCCCTCTATTATAAATCCACCCAAGGTCTTAGGGCAGGCCACCTTGAGGTCCTGGGAAACTCCAATGACCAGCAAGTCCACCACCACTCTTGAGGGATCGGAGACCAAGTCCCACCTAGAAGCCCTGGGAGTCGTGGGTGCATAAAGAACTATTGGACTCTACCCAAACGCCCATGGACCCTGAATATGGAGGGATCGGACCCTCATATGGAGCGGTGCGGACCCTCAAATCCTTTTGGTTTTGAGGGACCAAGGGTTGTTTGGAGCACCTGGGTAGATTTTAGACTACAAAACCAGGATCAACCGTTCTTTCAATAGTCTTTGAAGACTAGGGTGCTAAGAGCGTCTTCGTGGCCAACCATCGAAGTGCCCAAAACCCAGAGGTCGGACTTGTGGTTGGTGGTTGCTGCCTATTCACCAAAGCCTTCCTGTTTGAAGATCCAGATTCTCAGAGTTTTTCGAAGTGTTCACGCATGCTTCAGCGCCAGCATGTGCCAGCTGGCAGCTGGTTACTTAGTAAGTACTTCTGGACATGATGTTTCATTATGCCAATGCCTTTGCCCGTTAGCAATGATGTTCGGCTCTCTTTAGGATAAAAAAAGAGCTTTCGTGAAGACGCTCCGACGCTGTGTACTCGACGGCCCAGCACGACCCAGTGGCCCAGCACCACTCAGTGGTGCTGGGCCAGCGCGGATGGTTACTCTTGGATGCAACACGACATGGGATACCGGAGGGTCTTGTCCTTATTCTGTCCTTCTTCTTGGAATGTCTATAGTCTATGACTTCTTGTTCTGAACGTCCGAAAATCCTTGGAAATGTGATGCAAGCATGAGCCCATGGTGTTGTTGTTGACAGTACACTCGATCCCCATGTCCCCATTCGACAACATCAAATTGGGGGAAGAACAAATTGGAGGAAGGAACAAAGAACGCCGACACCAAACCTAGGACTGGAAGTGAAAGCATCACCCAAATTTTCCACGGTGGTTGTTGGATGGAAGATATCTATAAACCGTCCTTTCCGTGGTGCTGGGTCAATGCATGTCAAAGCCGCTTGTTTTTCGTTCACTTTGGTGATTCTTGGTGCAGGAGTGCAGCAAATGGAAAGGGTCATCAAAGAGTGAGCTCCCGTCAAGTACCTTTCACAGAACACCCAGAAGAACCCTCATCGTCAGATCCTGGCAGTGTTCTATCAAAGTGCACCTCCCGACTGAAAATCACACATTGGAACCATTGGATTCCCATTTTGGGGAGCAAAGGTGCTTGTAGGAAAAGTCTTCCAACACGTCCCTGGAAGTCTTCCAGCACACGCAGGGGAAGCACCAAAAAAACACACCGAAACCTCTGGACTCCGGACGTTCTCCCAGTGTTCTCGCGGGACGTTCTCCCAGTTCTCCAGATTCGCCTCGATGACAAACTCGAACAAGCTGCTGATGACAATCGCTGCATCCTGAGAAAACCAATCGCTGCATCGAGCAACGGCATGGACGAAGCGAAGCGACCAGTGGAATCTGGAAGCTGTGGAACGAAAATATGTTGTTTTTTTTTTTAAAGTAATATGATATATATATATAGTACAGTAATCATTATACTCTTCTGAATATAATTTGGTATGAAAGCCATAGTAGTTACTAACATAAAATGCCATCGGAATTCCAGTTCCTTTTGATGCTGGTAGTTTTCTCCGTTGTGATATATCTTATAGTCGACTTTACAGTAGAGGTTGGAATCAAAATAAGCCCAGGAAAAACGAAATAACTTTACAAAGAGCAGCCTCAAGTATAACTTTTGGGGATGTTTTTAGTGTGGATAGGTGTGGCCACAATGTGTGTGTGTGTGCGCGTGCTCATGTGTTCATGTCTGCTTCAAAAGAATACGTTTCTCTAGAAAGGAGATGGGATGAGATGGGGATGAATACGGGGTGAGCATCAACAACCTGGTGAAACGGTTCAAAAAAAAGACAGCTCCATTCGTATTGCACTGATCATCGATTTAGAGTAACTAGCCATTATGCAACTCGCGGTACGTCACGGTCCCCTTCCAGATCTTGGGTTCCTTAAATGTAGAGTGCAACTACATATCTCATATCACCGGAGCAGCCTTCTTCCTTCAGAAGGCCCCGCTCCAAACAATGTCCGTCACTCGTCAGAAGCCTCCAGCAACATCAGTTTAGGCCGCGTCCGCCAGTATCCTCTGGACATGAACAACATATTTGTTCACCCAAAAACCTTCAACCGCATTGCTGATCAGAGCGTCTTTTTGACCTACAAGCCCAAAAAGTTTAAGAAATGATCACAAGATACTAAGATATATCACAAGCAACTGTTCCCCATGTGAACAGGCGCCCATGCCTCACTCTGCTCCTTTTGCTCTTACCGAGTGGCCAGCAACATCCATCCCCAGTCTTCACCCCAGAAGATGCGTATGCCACGCACCAAAATCCGTAGGAGCAGTTCAGATGTGAAGAGAAATGTGTAGATGGAGGAAATCCTCGACGACCGGACCGATCGGGGAAACCACTGGAACCCACGCACGAGGAACCCCCAAAAACGACGAGACACGTGACGCAGCGACTGACAGATCCGGAGATCCACGGAAGACGAAAACGTGAACTACTCATCGTTCACCCCACGAGGTAGGCCTGGAGATGCGGTCGACGAGGTAGGCCTGGGGGTGAGACTGGTCAACACTAGTCATATGAAATATAGCTATTAAGATTGGACTGTTGGCTCGTGTTGGAAGGGGGAAAGAAACCATCGAACCATCTACCATCATCCACTGCTTCCATACCTAGTCAGTCCATACCTCCAGCCCCTCGACCCGGATCGATCCAGGTCCGACCGACCTGTCTCTCCGGCACGCGACGGGTGGGACCTGCCCCCTGAGCGGAAGGGATTCACAGTGGGTTAGTTTACAATAGTTTACATGGGACATCTGCCACTGAAGAGAGACATGGACTTACCAGGAGTGCTCAAGACATCTGCCACATGACGGTCTTTGGCTTGCCTTCCGGCCAGAAGCTCGTGGTTGGGCCCCTGTAGACGAACGCCAAGCCACCAGACGTCCCTTTCACAGCGAGGTCGGTACTTGAAGTGCGGACGAGCAAGAATCGCTTGCTCGAGTCCGACACGGACGGTCGCTGGCGCGAGCTGGTGACCAACCCAGAACCTTCTGGAATGAGAGCGGCAGGCCGGTCACCATCCATGCAGAAATTCTGCGCGTGGCTCAACAAACTTGAAACAAACACCCAAACGCTCGAAGAAATGCCACATGGTTTCAGGGGTCAATGTATAGGCACATACCAGGGCCCCCAAACAAAAGAGGTGGTTCAGTAAACCATGGCCCGTTCCGGGGCAATCGTATGCAGTACCAGACCTGGACGTCTCTGCGACTGAAGGCTCGATTGGACCCACAAGAACGACCGGTTCAAAGCTCCAGGAGAATGCAAAACCCTCTGGCTGAAACCCCGGTTTAAGATGAAGTTGCTCTTCAATCCATGCCTGGGGTTATTCATCAAGATCCTACATGACCCCCATTCAGTTTTTTTTCAGAGTAAGATGTTGGCCAAGCGTCACGAAGAAGAACTGAGGCATTTCTGCACCCGGTTCGACAGAGGCCCACTCCACCTGGAGAGCGACGACATCGCAACAGACTGGTTCGATCTGGATTCAGCCATGTTTGCTCGGGGTCCAGGTAGGCTTGGCAACAAGAATCAATGATGAACACCCGGTGGTTGTGATCCAAAAACGATGAAGAGTCCTGAACATTCAACCTCAATTGTCCCAAACCTTTGAAGCTATTCGTGGACGCTTAGGGCCTAGAATGACCCCAAAAGGTGCTCCTGTGATGAAAAAAGGTGGCTCAGAACAACCATGCAGCGTTTTCTTGATTCGCCACTGTCAGCCGATGCTCTTACTACTTCATCTTTTGAGCAATTCCTTGGACTCTTAAGCACAGTGACAGGGCTTACCCGGACCCCGGACCCAAAACCAGTTGAAGCCTTTGCGGACGGATCTGAGAGGCCTAGACTGGGTGGTTACGAAGCTGCTGGTGGGTCATAGGGTCATCACGACAAACTCGTTGTTCACCACGACGAGCAACACGGGCATGACTGACCCACCGCCGTTGAGTGCTTGGGGGGCTCGCTGAGTGCTTGGCTTGCGCCACTCGGCCAGTCTCGGCCACTCTCGGCCAGGCTCGGATGGCTCGGATGGCTCGGGCTGGTCGCCACTTCGAACATCGCCCAGCGCTCGGCGGGCTGGCTCATGGCCCAAAGAAGCAACTGCAAAAAGAATACATGAAAACACCCTATATATTATATAGCTATCTATATATATATATACATCTATATACTATATACCATGATCATCCATTATGGGTGTCTAATAAGTCTAAAGATCCCGAGTATAGCATTCGGTGCATGAACAAGTGACCTCCAGAGTGGATGACTTCGTCCACCGGGTTCACCCGCCCCCGTCCTGCCCCTCCCGTCCCCTCCCGTCCACCTTCGTCGCCCGTTCCCCGCAACGAGTTAACGGGCGGGTGCAGTGCCTGGATTGCGATGAAGATGGAGTTGGTCACCTGGAGATCGGCCCAAAGATGGGGCCAAAGGATCTCAAAAGGATGTGTATGTTAGATTCAGGTGACTCCCTTTCTATCCCTTCTCGGGTCGACTCGTCGATGTCCAGAAACCGAACCCCAGGGGGTGTCGGTCTCATGCCACGCCGAACGTGTCGGGCTCCCATGTCTTGAGCTACACAACAATGGGAACATGTGAGAGCAAGCAAGAGTGGGCGAAATTGCTTGGGGTGACATGGATCAGCGGTGGACAGCAGAGCACATGTCTGGATCGGCTGGCCTTTTTCATGGTGCGTGGCACCAAAAACAAGGCACAAAGCTGCGTGCCGAATCCAAGCAGCAATGATCGTGGCGAAGAAGGCTTCGAAGAACCAGCCATTCACGAACTTGTCCAACTTCCTCCAAATGAACCTCAACCAGGACTCCTGTTCAAACATCGACCGCTGAACAAGTCGGGGCTCGCTGAGATCTTCCCCACCAGAAGAGATCCCGAGAGACTCCTCAAAGAAAACATTTGAAAGATCAGAACTATATATATAATATTACTGTGTATTGCAGTATATAATATGGCACTGTCCATATTTATCATTATTTGTCTATACCAGCATCTTGAGTTGAATAACCTTTGTTGGAGTCCCATCCTTCTTGATCCTTCTTGACTCTGTACCTTTTAGATGCCGAAAGAGAAGTGACCTTCACCAACCAAGGGATCAAGTTCGGTCACAAACGGAAGAACCAGGAGGGTGCTGATGTGCTGCAGGAGGTTGCTCATGTGCTACATGTGCACTAGCTGATCGGTGGTCTCCGGCTGAGGGGCTTTCTTGGGAAGATGATGGAAGATGTGAACCTGAGGCTTTCAGCGCTTTCAGGGTGTCAAACAACCTGGGATGCCAAAGAGCAGCATATCTCCTTCTCATGACATCATCTTCGTGCCATGCTCTAGCCAACTCTATACTATCTAGAATCTTCGGGAAGGTGTCTTCATTTACATCCGATAAAATGACTTCAAAGGATCCTCCTCCTCGTCCTCATCCTCCTGGCAACGCCCCAAAAGGCGAACGCGAAAACATGGCAACGCGCCCCAGAGCTCCTCTGGCTTCTTGTCAAAGCCTCCCATGCAAAGCGCATCCCCCTGGCCGGCCGCCCACGTGACCACCGCATCGCGGGTTTCAGTCACCCCCCCCCATCCCGAGCACGGTCGGATGGAGTGAGGGGTCAATGTCCCATGGAGTGTTTGGCTTCAAAATGCTTGATCCCATGGAGTTTGGGATCCGAAAATCACCAGTCCTTCATCCCAAGAAGGGAAACTTTCTGAAAGTTGCTGACCAAAAACCGGGCGACCTGAAGTGAACCCCCTGGCATCTCAAGTTCACCTTTGAAGGTCCTGGAGGTGGAACACATCCATAAACACCCACACCCACAAGTTTCTATGGAGCTGGTCCAGGGTATCCCCTGTCACATCCACCCTACTGGATGGGGTGCCCAAGAGAGGTTCAGTGACCTGAACTAGGACCTTACTCGGGTACCTGTGGGATAGGCTATAGGGTACTGGGATACCTCTGTTGGTGGATTTCTTTTCGCTGGCAGTTGATTGATCTTTCTGTGAAAGAGAGTGTCCATCACGGAAAAAAGTGAGGGTCACGTGGCCGTGGACGGATGCGTGGCCGGTCTTGTTGTGTCTTGGTCATTTCGGATTCACACTTCGGGTCACCTTCACATGTGTCCAGTGTCCTGCAGTTCGTTTGGGTCATGGAACCTCAGGGCGCCCAACGTCGAGACGCAGCGTGAAAATGTTTGGCGAAATGCATGCTCGAAGAATCGAAACATCCTGTTCCCAACATGACAGTATGAAACTCATGGTTCGACTCAAGCTGCCAATCCAAATGGTACAGCTGTAATAAGACTCAACAAGATAACATGGCAAAAAGTAAGTATCGCTGATCTCCGCTGCACAGCAACGATCGAACTCGTACCTTCTGGTTTCTTCAGTTTATCCGAAAAATCGGTCAGACCCCTTGAAATCCAGTTCCTTCGACCCCCAGAGCCTGAGAGCTGCATGACTCTTCCGTTTCTGGGACCGGTCAAGCCTTCTCACTGACGGAACGACTCGTTCACTTCTCCAGCCTTCTGACGAACCCAATCCATTGAGGCCATACTGCTGGTCCCCGACTCATCCCCCTGCGACGACCGCGCGAGTGGATGGACCGCTGCAAAAAGAACGCGGCGGAAGCCGGAAGACGCCCCACGGGCGCGAAGAACTGAAGTTCTTCGGAGGACACTGGTGCGCGGCCGGGTCTATGGATGATAAAGGGGGTCCTTTAGGTAGACCCAAACCAATTTAGCCAGGGTGTTGCTGGTGCACCCCAGCAATGGCACCCAGACGATCAAAAAGCCCGACTGGCCGCTCAAACCAATGGATTTGAGATCCCAAAGCCCTCCAAAGGTTTCAAGTCCAGTCCCTCAAACCCTCTGAGGCTCGTGTGGTGTCTGGGTCGTGTTTATGTCGTTCGCGGCCGCAAAAAGGTGTCGTTCCTTTGAAAGGGCCTGGCCTCGTTGGCTCCTGGGTGGATGACCGTGGAGCTCCAGTTTCTGGAGTTCATTCCCCGAATGACTTGGAGTCCCATCCTTCCTGACTGGTCCATCGGCGGCCGGCCTAGACCTTCACCAACCAGGGGCTCCACTTTGGTCCCCCCATGGATTTCGGGCGCTGTTCAACCACCGAGCCGAGGTTGTTGTGGTTCTTGACCTGGGGAAAAAACGACGGTCTCGTATCTTCGCCCGGTCGTGCGGACGGGGAGGAGCAGTGTTCAAAACCCTGTTTGAAAGCCTTAACTTAGACCCTAACTTCATGAAGGTCCATACCTCTCTGGGGTGGGCAGTGGGGTGGTGCGGGTAGAACCACATGATAACTGCGGGTCTACCAAATTCGATGCAGAACGGCGTCAAGGAAAAACACATGACAGTTTCAGCAGCCTTAGCGTTTGTGCTGAAAGTGAAGTTCTCGGATCTGCGATGGACACGCTGCGCGGTCTAACTGCCAAAGCGGTGGACAAGCTGCTGGCCAGGCCGAAGTTGCTGCTCTGTGACTGCTCTGTTTCTCTGCCATCTCTGCCGCCTCTCTTCGTGAAATCCTTCAATTATTCGTGTGTTTTTTCACGCGCAGCTCCTGATTCTCCATGTCGCTCTGCAGTTTGCCCGGTTCTGGTGTAGTTCTTGCGCCACGCAATCGGCTCATGCACCAAAACTACTTCTCTCCAACAGCTGTGCAGCAATGCGTCCCACTTAACCAGTAGAGACGTGAGGTTCATCATCTGGGGAACCTGCCAGAGGGGGGAAGCTGCCAGAGGGAAACCATGTATCCAGGCAGTGGGTTGTTGTTTACCTGGTGACCAGGTGCTACTTCCTCAATCCAAAGAAGGAGCAGGTGATCTCATCACTGTAGCATGAAAAAGAATGGTGAATCACGACATGTGCTGTGGGTGTGGGCCGGTCTTTCCTGGACATGCTAATGTTTGCATATTTTTGTTTTTCGGTCATTCCCGCACCCATGATGAACATTGGCAAAATTGGCAAGGTGGAAGACCTTGCGGCAAGAACTTGCAGGGTCCAGGCGACTTGACATTAATGAGGAAGAGTATGCTGTGCAGGAGCCAAACATTGATGGTGAGCAATGCTCCAGCATCCTTCCAACCGGCTCACACATCCTACTGGGTCTGTCTGCAACCTTCCTGGGTGCTCCCCACGCACAAGCTGCAGAAACTAGCCACCCAGACACGCAAGCAGTGCAAAACCACACACCGCCCTCAGCTCGACATGCAGAAAAGGCATGTGCAAACATCAGCTCTCAGTTCTACATTGTGGGCATGGTTCACCCGACTCCTTTGCTTGACAGCAAGTGCACTTGAGTGCTCTTCTAATGTCCATGCTGCAGCTGCAGCAAATCGACCCTGTGTATGCACGTGGTTGTTTCAATAAGCTCAACATCGAACTCTTCATGGGTCACACGGTTCGATTGCGTGTTCTGACCATTCCTTTGCACTGATCTCCCTGGTTTTCCGGCGGCCTCAGGCAGCAACAATCTGTATGACCGCTGAGTTGTCTTGAAAATAGATAAGTTCGACCTGCCTGCCAAGGTCATTATGAGACCACTGGTGGATTTGGAATCCTCCTGCGCAGAACAGTGATCGGCGTCGGTGTAGCAACACAGCTTGAGTGATTCTGGTGGATCGCCAATGTATCCTTGTAGGGTGAAATTCCTAGACCCGAAAAGATAGCTCATGAGCCTGTGGAGGCGCTTGTCGTCAGCGACACTCCAACACGCGAGGCGACGTGCAAGGTCTGAGATACCCTTATTTAGGTCTGGTCTTGCCAGTCTGGCACACCAAAGCACTTTCATGGGGACACGCGACGCTTTGGCTGATAAGGAGCCGCGCGTGTCCCAATCCGGTCAGTCAAGCTTCATCGTTGACATATGGCGAAGCTGCTGGCTTTAGCTTTCTTTTGCTTAGCGTCTCATACAGCTCGCAACAATTGTCGATGAATTCGGTCGTTTCGAAGGCACATGTTGTCACTCTTCCGTTCCTAGAAATGCTATGTTCCCGGCCGAGGATTCGGTTGACATCGGCTGGTTCGTCCAACTCTAGATGGCGATCCCAAAAGGGCTGGTGTTGTGATGAGGGTCCCGAAACCACATCGTCTACGTAAAGGCTTAGCAACAGCCGGTATTTTGGGATCCAGAAATTACTCCGAAAGGAATCTAAATGCTTTGCATCAAGTGTTGTCATGACCTCCTTAAACCTCCTATCCCAATGGTACCCTGCCTCTGGGTGCCCGTACAGGGATTTCCAAAGACGTACGCATGGTTTTCGGATGCGCTTGAACTGCTCTGGAACGAGCTCTGGGCCAACTCTACGTACGTTGGTACTTTGGTTCCCAAGGTCGATTGGAGATACGCTCTTGCAACATCAGATTGGGTTGTCTTGTTGTTTTCTAGAGCTCCATAGGCTAGGTTGGCATTTATGCCGGCCATGCCAGTTGGGTTCACCTTCGACTCCAGCAATACAGCAAGGTTTCCGTCATTGTCACGGATGTCATCACCCCGGAAAACTATTCTTGCTTTTAGATTGCGAAGTGCTGGTGTCTCCCAGCACTTTACTGACAAAATGGTCATTATTCTTCCTATGTTGATTTGCTCGTCCTAGGCGCGACTTCGTCAAAATTCCATGTTCCATTACTTAACACACCGTCTCGCTCTTTCTTGATTGCCTCAAGATGTCCCTCATGCTTATGCCAATCTTTTCGATCGACCAAGAGGTGGATTCCTGCAAACACTTCCGCTGCTGGTCCTAACGATTCAGGCGTTACTGGCATTAATGGTACCACTTCTGGATACAAGGAATGACTAATGCACTGTGCCATTACCTCCGTATAGAATGCAGATTTTGGTGTCTTTGATCCTGCCAACTGCGAATGTTTGAACCCTGGTGGATGATTGCATTTGTACGCATCCAAAATCCTTGCTACTTGGTACGAACTAGTTACAATTCTCCAAGGTTACAATCATGCCTAGTGCACATCCGTCTGGCTCGGCTACAAACAAATCACGCTTCCTAATGGAGGACCACCCCCTATTGACCATTCCAAACACACATGTTGAATGATCAGCTCTGCACAAAGCAAATAATTCTTCAGGATGTTCAAGGACTTTTTGCACTCCTTCTTAAGGTTTTTGCGAATCCTTTACAACCTTTAGCAAGATTTACATTGTGCCAACGTGACCATGGACCGCATGGGATTGAACCACAAAGGTCTGCTCCGGGAAACCTGTTTATGACTTCTAGCAAGTCTCGTAACTCTTCAGTGTCTGCCATGTCCGACGAATTCTCGGTCAACCTGATGTGGCCTATGTTGCGCTCCTCGTTGACTCTGCCAAGTGCGGAATCTTCTGAACAACAAAATTGGGAGTTCGATCCTCTACTCTTCCTAGCTTTCAGTGGTTTGACTTGCTTGACACCCTTGGCTGCTTGCTGGATTTCTGCCGCAAAAGCTGGATGGTCTAAGCTTACGCTTGCTAAGAAGTGAGCACTCTTTTTGGCAAATCTTGTGGGTGCTTCATCGGTTCTGGTCAAGTTGGCTTGGCATGCTTTGATGTTTGCATGTTCGCTATCTTGCAATTTCGTTAGGACAAAACCAAGTTACCCCAATCCAACTCTTTGAAGAAATCCTTTGACGAGGATGTACCTGCCATTTGTCTTTGTAAACCGACACAACACCTTTGCACTTCCACTCTGTTACGCGTCGAGAATCAACCTCATCTGCATCGAATGGACAGTCTTTACCTACAGGAGCATACAGTCTCTTTCGGGGTCTTACATTGTTCATTTTTTCATGCTGACCGCGAACTGTCATATTCCCTAAAATCCCCGTGGCTACCTTCACCCTTTTCTGAACCCTTTGCATGATCTTGCTCCCCAGGTGCGGCATGGCAACTTGCAATGAAAGCTTCGACTTCCAAAAGGCTCTGACACTCCGGCGCATATGCGCGACTCGAAGTATGCATGGACAAAGGCATTGCAGGAGTTTCTGGTGCTCCCGACGGCTCGTCGACTGATGGTGCTTCAATCCTTGCCGGAGTTCTTGGTACCTTACCTGGAGTTTCAGGCGCTGGTGTCTGTGACGTTGATCCCTTTCGGAGATGCTTCCTTGGCCAAGCCCTCCTCGTGCAGAAGAAGGCGGAATCTATGACACGTGTCAGTGTGAGGGATTCCCTCGGCGATTTTGTCGCAACCTTTGCACCCCACAGTTTTGCCGATTTTTTTTGCACGCTCTAGCGTTACGTACGTTCTACGCTTTCGAACATCTGCCGAAGTCGCGGTACCTTCGAACGGCAAAGATTCACGTTCTGTGATTGACGGCAATGTGATTGAAGGCTTGAACAGGTTTAACTTTGCGACTGAAGCTTCATATAGTGGAAAGATGAAATTCCCATCCGATGGTTCAACCATTTCGGTGGAATAGACTTGGATTGGCCTGCCGAACCCTTTTGCTCCCGATCGAACACTTTCATAGTCTAGGACCAAATGGGCATCCCTCTGCACAAAGCCCGCATCAACCCTCCAACCCACAAAAATGCCTGGAAAAGTTCTTGGACTAAACGCTGGCAGTTCTCTGTGTCTCGGGGGTTTGTAATAGACCAAAGCTCCAAGCGGGATCTTCCAACCCTTGAAAGGCGCACCTCCATCTGCGGCTTCATAACACGTGAGCATGGATTTCTCTACCTTGACTTCATCCTTTTCATTTTTATGAATTGGCGCAAGGGTGCTGAAGCTATGCGCGGTGCAAAAGTACTGTATACTTCTTGGCCACAACTCGTGTGGGAATCCCGCTTTGAGGTAGATGGACCTTACCCCTTCTTTGATGGATCTAATGATGATACGTTCTAATTTTGCATTATGGTAGTCAACATGTGGAATCCCTGGGCTGGGTAGCCAACCAAAGTATTTCACGGCTTCTACCAATTCGGCTGCGCAGTCGGTTTTGACGTTGATGTCCATGAGCTTTTGTCCCCCCGAATCCCTGCAGCGCTGCGCTGAGATGTTTGCATCGACAGTCCTATTTGTTTGTGGAAAGGCTTGCAGTGCCCCACTGAACTCATCGAAACAAATCAAGCATGCCCTCTCCCCTTCCGACCCTTTCGTCAGATCACCCCCCCCAAGATGATGGGGTCTGCACGCAGTCGATTGCCAAAATGGGTGGCGGAACCTCTTCCGGATCTACCTCAAGGTCCCTTTTGCGGTGGTACCTTGATGCATTTTTGCCCTACGACAAACTTCACAATATCTATTTTTAGGGAAATAATGGGTTAAAGCGTGAGTGATCTCGCTTCTTCCTGCAGCTTGTCTCGCGCCGACGGAGTCCATGGATTGAGTTCCTCGTCTTCCGAATCTAATGCTTTATCGGCGTCCTCCTTTGATGGCTCGACCGTTGAAAGCACTTCATCAAACCCTACCCCAAAACGCGGCGCCGAAACTTCCTTAAGTTGCAAAGGTTCCTGCAAACTCACCAATTCAGCAGGCCTCTCCATGAGTTCTGCTCTTGGCACATCGCTCCTCGGAGGCGGGCCAGGAATCGGAACAGGGGCTTCAGTCGGACGACCGCGGGATGAGCTGCTTCCACCTGATGATGCAGGCATTGCAACACAAACCGTTTCGGACATGATTGGGACGTTTTCATGAACTCGATCTGCATATTACATTTTAGCTGACTCTGGAACATGATGCACTACTTCCCCACCCCTATCCGCTTTGACAAGATACGGGAGTTGCCCCGAGAACCAAACAAAAGGCCTTTGGTGTTCGTTCACTTGGATACCTACCGAAAATGCGCGCGGGCAATCTTTGAGGGTTTCAAATGTATTTCTTCCCGACAGACTACCTTCCAGTGTAGTCGCCTGCGTGCTAGGCTTCTTCCCACCCCCCGTCGAAAACTGAATCTCCTCAGGCGCATCGGTGATGAAATCCTGAAATTCAACAGGCATTGTCTTTGACGAACTGAGATTGCGGCCCGTGCCAGTATCAAGAAGAAATTCCTGATTCACTTGCGGCGACACTGGAATAACGCATGCTGCAATGGCAGTGAACACCTTGATGGCTTTCTCAAACACTCCGACCCTACAGGCAATGTTGAGCCTGTGCTTTGGCTTGTGAGGTGGCGACTTCAAGAACTCCCTACATGCACGTCTGGCTTGTGAAAACACCCCCTTGGCAAAGGGCTCACTCGTGGAACGATCGACGACCTCTCCTGTCTGGAAGATACTGACGTGGCCGAAGGACCTGAACCTTTGGCTTTGCACTTGCCTTGGATGTCGTCTGCAACAACTGAGGCTTTGGTGCCACTGCGGATGAAGACGCCGACTGTGAAGCTTCAGGTGGGACACTGACAGACGGTTCACGATACTCCGGAGAAGAACGGGCCTTTGCGGCCGTTCCAAAACCCCTGTGATCTCAACCGATGACTCTCATCTCCCAAACTGTCGCTCCCTGCAAGACGGAATCAATGACCTGGAACTTCCACTGAGGCACGTATTGATATCCAGACTGAGACACCCAAGGGTACCTTACCTAATAGTGTCCTTGACTGATACCCTCGTTGATGTGCCGAACCTTTACTGCAAGTCCCCTCCGGCCTCCTCTTGGAGCTCTGATGGCCCTCCAAAGAGAACGAGGAATCTGCCGCTTCGGTTCCGGTTCAAGAGCTTCGTCAAGATAATCGTTCACGTATGGATTGTAGCTCACGTATGGATTGTAGGAAGCTATGGCGTCAAAAAGCTCCTACGGCTGATAACCACAAGAAAGTGGCTCAGCAACGACGAAAAAGCAACACGGACGCGTCGCTCCTTTTTACCCTTGAGCCAAATAGTCCGGTTGCATGAATGCTATCTGGACGAACGGCGATCGAATGCTATTGGTTTACCTCGCAACTGGTCATACTTGGGCACTACTCATGCTACTTTTGGAAGCCAATAAGATTTCCAGGAACACATGCATCAGTGCTGGGTGAATTTGGTGAAAGCTGGTTGTGCCAATGCACTGGTTGAACATGTCTTGGTTGGTGTATCATTCAGAATCTTTCTACTCCTTCATGTGATATCATTTCTGGTGGAGATGCGAAGCCCCCAACCTTTTTCGCAAGAAACACTCAACTAGCGAGTGCTGACTTCACTTCCTTGGATGACAAGTCCTGCTTTCCCGGACAAGGCTTCATCTTGCTTAGTACCCGACTGAGTCCCAAAAGCTGAATTGATCCAATGAAAACACCAGTAAGTGCTTAAGGTTTTAGCCTCATATACCAGCTGCCTCTTCCATTGGGTCACCAATGGACAACCCTACACTACTTATAGGTCTCCATTGGACACCCATTGGAAGCGTTAGGTATATTTAGATGTCTTTAGCTTGTCTCTCCCTCCCTCTCTCTCTCTCTCTCTCTCTCAGTCAGGAGGGGTTTCTCGAAAAAAAATAAGATATCCAGCAAGAGATCCTGAACAGTGTTACAAGGGGAGGAGAAGCACCGTACCTTTATCCCGAGCCTCAACCCATTACCATAAGAACCCCTAGTATGACCACTCCGTCTGGGGAATAATCACTCCAACATACGCAAAAACAAGTCTGGCCAGAAGTGGTCCACTGTCAGCTCCGCCGGGGCCCCGCGAAAAGCGGCCGGCCTTCATAACATCCTCCAGAGTCCTGGCCATGTCTGGCATGTCTTGGGATTCAGTTCCAACAGCGTGGAATGGGACTGGACCAAGCTTCGAGCGAGCGAGCTTGCCCAGTGTTCGTGAGTCCGAAAGACTCGATTCAAGAAAGAATTCTAATAATTCATGTCTAAAACCCGAACCTCTGACTCCCTCAGCTGGAACAAAACAGGCTAACCCGAACTTTCCACCTGTTCTGTCTGTGGGGAAAAAGTTCCATCTGATTGGACCTGGATGGGTTGACTCGACCTGACTCGACTCGGTCGATGGAAGCGCGACCAAGTGGGGGGACTCCACGTGGGGCGTCTGCGACACGGCGCCGTTCTCGCGCGACGGTGGTGGGTTTTCGAGGAAGGTCTTTCGGTCTTTCTCGGTTTCGGCGGGTTGGCGGGTTCGTTCTTTTTCAGGCATGTGGCAGGCCCGGCTGGAGTGGTCTGACGTCATGTGATCCGATGTTCCTGAATTTACTTGCTTCAGTCGCTCAAAATATAGTCTAACCGGACGTTATAGGGTACTCAAATGGAGTCATGCTGCATCTCCAGATAGGACACCCCCCCGACAGCCAGGTCCGGAAACCAAGTCCAGTTCGACGATCTTTGAAAAACCCAAGTTCTCGGGAAAACAACAATGTTGGCAATGATAAAGGGATATAAAAGGCTACGATGAAATGCACGGTGTCTGCAACTTTGTTGGAAAAAGATACCCATACCCAGACACTCCATGGGACTGGTATATTTACCTCATTGGAGTGGTTTGGGGGGATCAATGTAGGCATACATATATATATATATATATATCCCATGGAGTGTCTGGGATATATTCATACCATTCTTAGGGAGCTATTGTTGACTCTCAGACCACTGCAGGTTTCCTAAATAAAGGATCGATCGAATGGGTCAGACGGTCGTCGAATGGGTCAGGTTGCCCACTTGACGGAGACTCTTAAGTACTTCAATTGGTCAGTTTCGTGGACACACCCAAGACATGCAATGCAGCAATTCGATGTTATATCAGATTGCTATTAGCATGTTCAGAAGATCAAAATGCAAAGAGCCTCTGAAATCTTTGCACACGGGCAAATGCTTCCTATAGTCTATCCACCACGAGCCAATCTTCTTTAGGAAGGTGTCTGCCGCTTCCAGGCATCCGGCACGGCTCTGCTCCACCGCCACACCCGGCTCTCCGGGCGTGGAACGGAACACCGCCACACCCGTTCGGTTCCTCGCTCGCGCGTCCGTTCGGCCTCACACGCACTGTGACCTTCTCATGGGCATGGCGATGGGCCTTCCTCGGTCGGTCGTTGCGCGGAAGGCGAGGGAGGTGGAGCGGAGCGCGGGTTGGGCTGCCAACGGTGTCTGAGAGGCTCGATTGGGGAGAGCCATGTTTCATGGGGGGTACCCCCAATTTTCCGGGAAAACATGAGTTGTTGAATCCTAAATCCCTCCGTAACTTGTGGCACCCCCCCATAATCCCTTCTAAGGCCCGCCCAACCAGACCATCCCATGGTCAGAGCTGGATGAAAAGGTCATTGATGGTGACAACGTCTGGGCCCTGGGGAGACCTGGCCGACCTGTGAGTTGGGGCATCAACAATGGGTCCGGTCCGATAGGATGTCTTAGGGCAAAGCCCTGGGCAAAAACCCCTTGTTGACTCCCCTATTGGTTTTCTTGTTAGTGAACCGACGGGCATCTACTCTGACCCTTGGATGCTCCTCCTTCTAAAACTGGTCTGAATGGTGCACATGCCAATTCCATCCAATTCCAATGTGTCCCTTTTCTTTGCTCACAGTGCTCACATCACTTCCCGGACAAAATTCTTTCTCCCCCCCAAAAAAAAACTCACCCGCTGTTGCTCCCAAAAAAACACGCAGACGTTGGAACACCGAGTGGCTCCGCGGTCTCAGAGGCATGCGACGCCTTCGACTGATTGGAATGCTCCGAGTGCACCTCCTCCGCTCCGCACAACTCCCATTGCATTTGGATTAAAGACTCTCCATGCCACACCTCCCACATTTGTTGCTTTTACAGTATAGAGAATTCACAAATGGATACAAATGGTACGCCACACATGGTTGCAAATGCACGATTCAATGATATTCCATCCCACATTCAAATAATTCCCTCATCTACATATACCATATGTACCCATATCCGCTGCAATGTCGGGTGTCCCTTCACTCACACGAAAGTCAAACCTGTACGGGTCAGGAACTGACCTCAGAAATACAGGAGTTGGTCAAGTCATACAAGTACAAACACTACAAAAAAGGAGGTCAGTTTGACCAGGTTGGAGGCCATCGCCATCGCTAGTAGGTTGGAGGCCATCGCCATCGCTAGTAGGTTGGAGGCCATCGCCATCGCTAGTAGGTTGGAGGCCATCGCTAGTAGGTTTGGTCCTGGGTCAGACTGGACTTGTAGGGAACCATCCCCCATCACCGCTTCCCCCCGCTCCTCTACGGCACTCGGCGGAGGCTTCACGCGGGTCGAGGTGGGGTGCCGAGCGGCAGCTCGGACTGAGGGGCGCTTGAGGTGGGAAGCCAAAGAGCTCCTTGGAGAGGTGGGACCAAAAGCAGGTCAACCGAGCGGATCCGAAAGGCTCTGGAGCCTCTGAGTTAGAGAGGTAACACAACTGCGTGCTTTTAGGAAGCTGCTCTTGACCTCTTGACACGTCACCCCCTCCCCAACACCGGTGAAGGCAGTGACGTCAGTCAGGACCCGAACGCGAAAAGACTCAGCCGACAACGGTTGCAAAAACCACCTGACAAGCCTGGTTTCTCTGCGGAAGAGGGCAATCATCGAAGCCACCCTACAAGTCAATTCGACCTCATTTTACTGGGGATGGTCATACAAACCAATACTTAAGGAGGTTAAGGACCAGGTTTTACTGGGTCAGACTGGACGAACGTACGGCCAGACTCTACCAGGCACCCGACCCTGCCAGGCGTCTTGAGACCATCTCGGAGGGTGCAAACGTAGTGGGCTGCTATGTAACACAGGTTAAGTGACCTCATAGGACCCTACTGGGGTACCTATAGGATAAGCTATAGGGTTCTTCAACCACAGCTGGATGTAACTTGCTACGATTTTGCTTTGCAAACGTTTGGGACGTCACGTCTTTTGCGTCGAAACCCACCGACGGACCCATCCTTCGTGAAAACAAGGCGGAAAGGGGGTCCGTCTTTATCCGGGCGGATGACTTCGAAGCCCAAAGAACTCCCCTAGCCGAAGGGCTCCGGTCGTCCCTTCGTTTCGAAGGTGGAACTGGGGTGGGTGCCCAGTCACACCTTCTGAGGAGGCACGACCGGAGCCCTAAGGCTAGCCTTCGGTTCAACACGCTTGAACATGATGCGTCCAATCCAATTGCTTGGTGTTTAAGTGTGCGTGCCGTCGAATCCTTCGTAAAACCATGGTGCTTCGGGATTCGGGCGATGAAATCAATTTCCCAGAGGCTCATGGACCCTCAAACTGCTACATGTTTGAGGTCCCAAACCCTGGCTGTGAGGGTCAAAACCCCAGCTATGAAGGTCCAACGAGCCTCTGGGTTGGAAGAAATGGGAAGAATGGTTGTTCCATGTTGTTCCAAAGGCTCCATGGAACTGGGAACCGCGGCTTAAACCACCGCCTGGCCGATCTTACTCCCAGACAGCTTGTGTCTGGGTGATAGTCCTCCGGAGTCGACGATGTTTGCTCTGACGAACGGTGGAGCTGATTTCAGATCACCTGATTCTTCGCCCCAAGGGCCTCAAGGGCGAAAACACGGCAATCGCCAACCCAGATGGGTTCAGAAAAGAAACAGCTCTGAAATGCCTGACATGGTGCCGAAATCGGCAACCCAAACCTGCAGGACTCTCTCTCTCTCTCTCTCTCGCCCAGGACCCGCCAAGACACTCAATCACACCAGACATTCGGCTCATCCAGGACTGGAAACGCCGAGACGCCCGGAGATCCGAAGGGTCCGAAGGGTTGGCGGGTTGGCCTTTGAAGGGATAAGACTGGACTTAGATAAGACTGGATCACCATGGATCACCCCAAATGGCGAACCTCGATCACCTGGCGACTCTCCTGGCCCAGAATCACCTGTGGACCCCAAACCTGATGAAGCCCGTACCCGAATCACCTGGCCAGTCCAACGTTCCACGCTCCGGCCCTCACCGAAGGGGGGAGAAGCCTCCGTCCAAAAGGGGGATCCAAGAGCTGGTTTCCCATGAGTTCGGAATCCAGAAGTGTTTGTTTTCTCATCAGTTCGGAGACACAGGAAGCACCATGGTTTTCCCATCAACTGTTCCATGTACTGTTGGACGGAGACACCTCGGTGTACACCGAATCACTGGGACACCTCGGTGCTTTCTTCGGTGGATCTGGCCTCTGGGCTGCTCCGCAATATCTCTCAGACCATTCAAGTATGAAAGAATTGCAGTATGAACGTACCTCATGTACAAACCAGATTACATGAGACTATCTCTTATCTCATTTACTGAGATTGTCTAATACATGGTGCATTTACCTCATTTGAGACTTCCTTTATGTATGCAACTATTCCATACTATTCCATACATCATGAATGGATAGCCTGAGTCCTGATGTAAGATCTATGCCAGCACCTTCCAACAGGTCACCAATGGTTCGACCTGGTCTCGTGCCCGGACCCCAACCCTCGAACTTGGAGACTTGTTGGAGGAAGCTGCAGCAGAGAATGGCATCCGGTTGATCGGAAACGGACAGCGTGGCAGCCGTAGGGTTTCAGCCCACCAGCTCCAGAGCTCGGGGTGCGGAGGTAGTCGGGGTGCCTATGGGTGCCCCTGTCACATCCACTCACTGGATGGGACGAGCCACACCACCCCCTTGCAACTCCTGACAAATCCACGCTAAGGGTCCAGGACCATCTGTTTCTCGGATGTCCTTTGGCTCTCTGGTTTCGTACGTGCTCACCTCCACCATCCTCAGGTACCCGGACCTTATGGGTAAGTATCAAACCGAACACCAAAGCAACGAGGGAGTCAATTTGGACCCTGCATCTCAAAACCCTTCACCTGTGAGATCTATCCCAAAGAAATCCTGTAAGGCGGCCGCGCGTTCACGCGCGACGACGGCTCGCGCGTTCGCGCGACGGCCTCCATGAGTTCAGCCAGTTGCAGGTCCCGGTCCTTCAGGATCTCCTTGCAGGTCCGTGTCGACGTCTGTCGAGACCTTCGGTCGACTCGACGAACCTTGCTCCTTTTCGAATGAAAAGCACCCAGACGTCAGAAGGAAAGACTTTGGTGGCGGAGTGAGGGTCAAAGCTTCGACCTTTTGAGCCAAACATCTTCTACACTGCTCCAGAAATCTCGTGACAGCGATCCAAGCAGTCGGAACTGGCGCACTGGCGGATGATCCAACTGGTCAGTGTAGTGGTTGGTAACCTCCTAGTAAGTCAACCCAGGAATTGCAGTGATTTCAGAGTGGATGGCACAGACCGGAAGATCTCCTTTAGATGGGGGTCCATAATAGTTGACTTGCACCATCTACTCTCAATCCACGACAGTTGAGTTGGAGGACTTGTCGACCTAATATTAGGCTGGAGGCCATCGCTATTAGGTTCCTAAAGTTAAGCTTCAAATTCGCAACTCCCTCCGCAACGAAAGTGGGGGTTGAAGCCCAGTCACCCAGAGTTAGGTCCAGAGGTTTCGAGTAAATCCGGTCCCCACCTGTAAACCCAAACGACTCACAGAAAAGCATGTACGGTCAGATCCTTTGCTAACAAAGTGCTGCACGAAAATGCAAGAAATATGCATCTGCTTGCGACTGGATCGGGCAAGTTTCGGCCAGTATCGGTGTCCAAAAGCTCGAATCAACCCTGTATCGCCTATACCATCCTACACCCCTTGTTTATGGACGTTTCGTTTTACTTACCCCATAAAAGCCGCGAAGGCTCGGAGGAAGCTTCCCTCCCCCCGGGTTTCATCGCTCTTCAGCTCCAACGACGACTGACTTGGGCCGTCGGCTCCTCGAACTGCTGCGCCGCCAAGTTGGACGCCAGCCCCGCCGCCAGGGCCGGGCGGAGGAAGGATCCGGCACCGCGTGGGCTGGGGGAGGGGCTCAAGATGCTCGGCTCCTGGCGAACGGCGATGAGGACCGTGGACTGGAAAGTCGGAGATTTCATGGATGAAACTGGTTTGTGCCACTCACCCCAATACTGCTACCTCCCCAAAGTGGTCCTTGGACGAACTCTCCTACCTTGCAAAGCAGTTGTTCCAAACCCCAGTCGGTCGGTGCTGTGGAGTTGAGGGAAACAGGACTGATTCAGGGGTGACCTGTCGTGGGGCGCTGGAACATGCTGGAACTGGGATATCCACGTGGACCCTGATATGGGGTTGATGGAAAAGAATGTGAAAAAACATCAGAAATCCAATGGGATCTTCAGAACACTTGTAAGGACTACTACCATAACTGGCATCTTTCACTCTTTCAAGTGAAAAATGCATTGGTCATTGGTCCTTCTACAACACAGGAGACTTAGACTGCAAGGGCAGCCCTGAGATTCCTCCAACTCACCCGTTTCGCATCCGACCCGACACGAGTTGCCGGCTCGTTTCGCGTCGCGGAGGTCGCGGAGGTCGCCATGCTCGATGTCCGGCAGCGAGGAACCCCGTTTCCGTGGATGCTTTTGGTTGGTTGGTTGGGTGGGTTGGGTGGGTTGGTGGGTTGGGTGGGTTGGGTGGGTTGGGTTTGGTTTGGTCTTGGGTTTGGGTTTGGGTTGGTTGCTTGGTTAAGCGACTCGCAGCAGTAGCCGTGGTCCACAGGCACAACCCCCACCAGCGGATCTCAGGTTTAGCTCCGGAGAACTAAAACTAAAACGAAACTAGAATCACATAATCATGAGAAGAAAGAAACACTGATCATCCAATCACCGATAAAACAATACGATTCAATTACCGAAAAAGCCTGATCATGAGGTTGAATAACCATCAACAATGCTCGTTGGCAGGCAGAAGTTGTCAAACATCTTTCTTGTTCCTCCCTAACTATCCGTCAGTCCTCACCGGGTTGCGACGGCTTCACTGCCTCAGGATACACCTCGATATGGCTCACGAGATGGCGAAGGCACCAAACTGATGGCAACTGTATCATATGCTTCAATATAGAACAGTCACCATTGATTGTCTTTATATGTCTTACTTTATTGACATCTCTATTGCACAATGAACTTGATCCCAAGTAATGCAGCCTTTTTTTCAGATGGGTGGTTCCAGTCGTGACACGGAATCGGTTCCAGTCTCTCAGGCGAGAACCAGAAAACATTGAGGAGAGCCTGATACTTGGAACGCTCTGAAGGGGATCTAGGCACGCTGGTCACGCTGGGTGGTTCTTTTGGCACCTCTGGGATTGGAAGTTAACATCGGATACAATGATACAAGTCTTGGATTCTAGATTAGATCTGATCACAAACCTATCGTTGGCCAGAAGAAAAAAAGAGCGACATAATGTGAACGTTCGTAAACAGCGAAGCAAAAAAAAGTAGAAAGAGACTTCTGTTGATGGAAAAAGACACCTACACGAAGGTTTCTGGGTGTTTGGGACTCCAAAAAACCTCGGACCACCCCAAGTCTTGCACCACTTTTTTGGGGAAATGATGGACATGATTAAATGACCTCAAAATTCCTGTGCCTTCTGTGCAGCAGCCACAACCTGCATTTTAATACGTCACCACGCCCCCACGCCACAACTTTGCAAAGGAAGGCCAAGGCTCTAAGGGCTTGAGGCTGCTTGCCAAGTTCGGAGTCAGCTCCTTGGTGTCCCAGAAGCAGATCACTGAAGCACCATGAAGTGGACGGGTCAGTTACCCCTTCGGGTCTGTAGGTCGGATCCAAGGATTCGCCAAGGGCAGCAAGAAGTGGTCGGAGCCACGAGCCACGAATCCCATCGTTCTCAGTGTCTTTTGCGGCCAGAATTCTACACAACCCTGAAGGTTTGACCGAATCGATCAGCCTCAAATCAACAGACTTTCTGGCTGAACCGCACCACCACCCGTTGTTGTGAGGTAGTTGGACCATTGTTCCAACATGTTGTTTGCTGAAGTTCTGGCATGCAATCCTCGAAAATAGAAACCTCTTTAGTTCAACACATGCTTACAAATGAAAGAAGCCATGTTTCTCACTGCAGAGTCTAGCCACAAACCTACCTGGTTCCTCCACGTAATCTTTCGGCCCGCTGGGTGGCGACCAACGCCCAGCCCTGTAAAAAGGTAGGTGACCAACGGTGACCGTCTAACTAGTCAGCTCCAGGATAGGAAAACCACTTAGGGACACTTCGCCATGATTAAAACTCAAAGCCAGGACCATCCATTGGACACCCATTGGATGGTCCAGGAGCATGCAATGTTTTGAGGCCAATACAGCCTGCCCCTGACCTGCCCGTGTCAGCCATGGAACGAGGCTGGTGTGGCTAGCAGACATTTGCTCCTCTAGCTGCTCAGCCATGGCAAAGCAAAGTTTGAAGAAAAGGGGCCAGCCACTCTTTAAAGATTGGCGCGACGCCCGATTTGCAAGAATTGTGGCTGTGAAATCTTGTGTTTTCCGCCCGCGAGGAGTGCGACAAGTACTCGCTGACATATCCAATGTTGGAAAGAGCTGATGCATTTCTCCTGACAAACACACCCGGCCAACACACATGGGGAAGATGTCGGAAGATGTGTCTTCTTGTTCATGGCAAAAGCATCACTTGCGATCTACCACATCCAAACCTGGACACCCCGTCCCAACCAGAAAAAATGTTTTCTTCCTGGCGCCAGCTGGAGATCCTTTACACAACAAAACGGCGGGTGCTCGTGGAAATCTGTTTCAAACAGTTCGCACCCTCCTCTCTTCGGCGTTGGTGTCTTTGTCTCTTCTTTCTGTTTGAGGAAGGACTATAGAGCTCCAAACCTCTGCAAAGATCAAGGACATGTCCCCTCATGTTTTTCACCCTGGGGCATGTCAACGTTTAGAGGCTTGAGCCAAGCTTGCCCAAGTTGGACCCATTTCCAGCTCGGCAAAAAACCGGGGCCATGCCATCCCATATGGCTGTGGGTCATGGCATCTGGAGCCCTGAAATCCTGGTAGGTGGACCATGTCTGCTAGTCCATCCTGGGGGGGGCGCCTCTTTCTTAAGAGGTTTCCAAACAGACCAACCGACCCAGCAGGTGGTTTGGTTCCAAACGGTGTTGCCTAAACAGACCGTCATGTTACCGTTGAACCATTGAGAGTCTCTTTCGGGGCTGGTGTTCTTGATACGAACCGAAGCCCAAAATCTCTTCCCCGTCACGCTCGTCACACGCGTCACGCTCATCGCGGGTGAAAGGCGTCATGCTGATGACGCCCATACACTCGAGTCAGATGCTTCCAATGAATTTCCCCTCATTTTACAGTACCCCACCTGGTAGTCATGCTCCACCACTTGTATGGGGAAACATAAGTCATGATAGTCAGTCAGATAGTCATGACTAGGCTTCCAGGGTTAGGATCGGCGAGGAGGGGCACACCAACTGCAACTCGGACCTTTTAAAGGCTTCTCGGGAAAACCTGATCTGTGACAACAGGCTCTCTTCAGTGACAGAAAGCCGAGGCATCAAAAATCGAAGAATCTCCGGTAAAGGCCCTCTTTTTTCAGAATCTTTGGAATATCCTGTGGTTATCCAATGGTATCTACTAAGTACTTTGCGTAAAGAAACCTGTTTCAGGCCCTGGTCCTGGGACATTGGACGATCTGAAAACCGTAAAAAGGTCCAGGTGTTCAAAGGTCCAGGTCCATCAACCAACTCAGACCGTCCATTGGGACTGGAAGTTATATGTTTGGTCTCGCCACCCATTCATCCCAGAAGCCAGTCCCAATGGAAGTACATATGCCAGTCCCATCAAAGGTGGTCTGGGCAAGGGTAGGATCTCATTTCGAGCAGCACTTCTGAGCCTAGGCTATGCCTATGGGCTATGCCCGTCGCTCTAGGCTGCAGATAGTTCCGCAAGGAGCAGCTGACATGGAACACCACACACACACTCACACCTAGCATTTTGAGGGAAGGTCCACTCGCTTGCCAACGGGCTCCCAACGGGCTTCCGAACCGGTTCTGACCCATCCTCGCGACAGGTGACTCCCTTAGTTCCGC